ATGGTGTTCTCTTGTTTGCGAGCGGGTTATTATTAGCTGCTATTAATTAAACTTTGGGAACTATCAGCCCGGTACCGACTAATTGGGTATACCGGGGGTCAGAACCATGGCAACCCTTTTCTTACGGTACAAGTACTCGAGTACAGGTGCTTGTGTCCGTACCAGCCGTATGACATCAAATCCGAGTAGGGTAGTAGGTTCGAGTACGGAGCCTTTGGCCACCTCTAGTTTTTGGCCACCTCAGTGCAACTATGGTTACCGGAAGACCTACTATCTCTCGTATTTCAGAACGAGAAAGACTATAGTCATATAGTTTCAACTCCAGCATTCAGTTATACAAGATTGTTTAGAACTTTCATTCTTGATAGATTTTAATGCTAAAGGAGTCCTTTGATTCCATGCACTCATGGTGTTGGTATAATATGGCTGATTGTGGGTAGGGGTTTTGGTACTCAGACTTGGCAGTGGTTGTTACAGTAACTGAAAGCTACAAGTGGCCAAAAACACCATACTCGAGCTTATATCGTGTGCGATGGCTAAATGACATTATCCGATTGGGCTGCAGTGAAACTATCAGATACGGAAACCAGACGGAAGAATTGTTCCTTCTGAAACCCATGGATAGGGAAAGTACTAGCACCGGCGCTCGCACAATCCTGAAATCCAGTTCAGCACCCAATCTTGTTTCCCCTTTCTTTAAACCGAAGGTTTGCTCTGATAAGACGGCACGATGCAAATTTGGATACTGTGGCGAGCAGGATGGAATTCAGGAGCAACCCTGAAGAACACCACAGCTCCCATTGAGGGCCAATGTTGACGAGTTGTTGTACAAGTAAGTTGGTTCTGCATTGGTGACCGACATACTTCCTTGCCTTGTCTGATAATCCCAGACACTGGCTCCTCGTACTCGAGTACCTATAACGGATCGGTATAGCTAGCTCTCCGAATGCGGATCTAGAAATGATCTTCCTATGATCCCCACGGGTCCTCAGTGTCTTCCAACCATTTGAAATTCCATTCCTAATATGTTTCGACATGGTACTCGTACATGTCTTGTCTATAACGCAATATAAACTCAATTAGTGAGCGTCCGTCCATCGACGGTTCATAGGATCACACGGCTGTGATCACCTCACTCTGCCCGAGTGCAAGCGTCATCCCGAATCCATGCAAACTCTGCGAATCACTGATGCGATGCTAGGAAGCACATCTCTCTCTACCCGTGCTAAACCAAATCTACAGTACGAGTACAGCCGATTAGAGAGCAGCATAGCATGTACCGGACGGTAGCAGCAAGGCAGTGAGCGACCGGATGGGGCCGGGATTATTTTTTGCCATTGCGACATTGATCTTACATAATTTAGCACAGTGGGCGTATTAGAGTACCGTACCGTACTAATACCTTGTCGCAAGTGCCCTTCAGCACGGTACTCGCACCGGTGAGGTGCGGTACGGTGCAGCACACAATAACCCTTCTTTCCTCAGAAAAGGCAGGGTCCCATAGGTCATGGGCCGAAGCCTTAAACCTCACGTGGGGAGAAAAAATAAATAAGAATAAGGGTTGGGGGTATGAAGGAGCTATAACCCAATCCCGTATTCGGGTCTTGCTCCTTTTCCTTAATCAGAAAGGTAGGCCCGTGGTCCGGGTTTCGGGGTTTACCATTTCTCGGCCTTCCGTCTCACTCGAGTAGTCTGTCTCCGAAACCCCACCCCGACGGATGAACGAGCCCCTTTTCCAAATGAACGCCGCGAAATGTTGTGTGTGTGTGCGCGGGGGGGGGGATCGACATCAAAAGCCATGCTCGGAGTCCGCTTCTTCCTTTATTTCTTTTGTTTTGTTTTCTTCCTTTTTGCCTTTTTTCCAATTCTGCCCTCCCGGAATGGTGGAAAGATCCCTGGTTCCCGGTACTCTTCAGCTTACTTTTAGGGGTACGCCTAGCCTTTTTAGGAAACGATTCATTCTATTAGCGGTGGGAATTAATGATGGGTCAAGCTACTACTGTAGTATCATATCGTCTCCGACGAGATAATTGTGATACCGCGAGCTCCATCCTAGCATTCATAAAGCGAGGTGTTAAAGGGTGGTGCGATACGGCACTCGTATCTGGACACCTTGCTTTAGCGGGGAATTAACACTATCTGTGCTCAATGTGTTTGTTGTGCACTGGAGAACCCATACAGTACTCGTACTCTACATTCCATTTTCATGCATCTTGTCTGGCACGATGTCGGCCGGAGGGATAAATAATAAATAATTTTGGGCATCAGAACTGCCTCAATACTGTACCCAAATTAGACTGCTACCGCTACATTCTCTCGGGTCACGAAGGCCCAAAAATAATCGAAGGATAGAAGCCCTCCAGTCCATGGTCTGAGCGCTGGTTGACTAGACTTCGGACATCTGGACCCTGTCGTTCGGGCGGAGCGGGATGAGAGATTACGCGAGGCGGCGGCAGGTGCCAGCCTTGCTAACATTCCCTTGGCAAGTGATTCTTATCCGCAGAGGTGCAGGTCTCCATGTTCATGAGGATTGGCATTGCGGCCTGAAGCGAGAGAGTGGTGGTTATTATGATGGTCACCGTCATCATCAGCGCTCATCAGCGCTGTTAGAGAAGCTTTGGGGGAGTGGACACGAGTGATTCATGACTACAGGATTTTTCATCCCATCTTGACCGCCTTGTTCGTAGCAACGCAGGGCCAAAGGGTGGACCTTGGGATAGTGTACGAGTACGGCATGGATTCTGGATTCAATTGATTCTTCAACCTTCTCTCTCCTGCCGCGGTGTTGACCCTTGTTTATCAGACAATAATAAAAGCCTCTCTCTTCCGTCTGCGGTGAGCACTGAGGCTTTGTGGAAGTTGCACAGAATGCACTTGGAATTACTTTTTTTGTGCATGTTTCGCGTGCGTTCCTCGTAACGAGTAGTTGCAGGAATGGAACCAACGTTTTTCTTGTCCAACCAACAGCCCGGGTGCCCAAGTCCACCACCGGAGCCATATTTTTTTGCCCGAATTGGCTAGATGTTTTTGTCTCTCGATCATCCTCTCTGATCGGAGGAGGCAATTGTTTTGTAGCCGGTAGTTTTCAACTCGGAAACGTACCGAACGATAAGATGGGAAGCTACTTTTGCTTTCTCCGCCGGACTGTGTGGTTGGTAAGTTACGGTAAGTTTATGAAACGTTCAGTAATCTGCTGAAAAATGATATATAGCTATCACACAGCGAGCTGGAGTTAATTGGATGGCTTCATACCTCCTCCTCTGAATGGATTTTTGTGGTTGCGAAGACGGGGGAGGGGGGTTTCCTTTCCTTATATCTCAGTTAGCATGGCGGAGGGAGAAGAGAGAGAATACTGTATCGTTCATTTAGGGGAAGAAGTGAAGAATACAGGATGTCTTTGGTTGTTGGAAGGGCTCGTTCTTTGGACGGTTAGAGGTGGGGAAAACGTGACTTGAGCTGCATGTGGCTGCGTGCTTGTGCTCGCGGAGATGCTCGAGGAACTTGAACTAGGCGGGATTTGCTTCGGTAACTTGCAGTGGAGGGCAATCCTCGAGTATCACCAAGGCGAACGACTAGGGACAGGGGTTTACTTGTGGCATTCCAAATCGGACTACGGTATTGTGGGGTGCGAAGCATCAAGTGCTGCTTTGGTGTGGAGGACAAGATGATTTACTAGTGGTCTCCTTGAACTTCTCAGTTCGCCGTATCGTATCGTCAACTGCTGGGACTGCGAGTCCTCTGGTATTCAACCGGTCGGATATGGGAGGTGAAGTTGTTGCGCGAATGACCTTCCCCATCATCCAACTCGTTCGAAGGAGAAGCGTCACGCGATGCTTTGTTATTGTACAGTACCAATACAACACACCGGTACGGTACCTCAGCGGGCAGAGCTCGTACTCGAGTAATTCTATTGGTCTATTCTGACAGCTCTTGGATACCATTTGTTCATTTTCAGACCTGACTTACTCTGATAAATTTGTGAGAGGCGAGAATTGGATTGTTGGACATTGAAGGAAATTGAAGTGTGCTCATTTGGACGGGCTTCTGTCTTTTGTTTCTTCACTTCCTCCCCAACTTTCGGTCTGCCCGCCGATCGACTGAGTTGGATGAACTAATACTAGCACTGTAAGGCCTTTTTTTTGTTTTAGATTTTCATTTTCCGCGTATGTCCATTTGCGTGCACGACCACGAGCACAGCAAGCACTCGTACCAGCACGCTTTTCCTTTCCCCCAAGCAACTCCCTACCCCTACCTTTTCTCTGTCACCCCCCCTCCCCCCACACACACATGCCGCCGTTCCACCGCCCCTTGCTCATTTGCCGACGACTGAGGGAGATGCGAAAAGCCAGCCCAACTGTCAAGGAGAGGAGGAGGAGGAGGGGAAACAGAGGAGAGGGAAGTTGGGGTCCTTGCCGACATAGGGATATCGATGGAAGTACTCGTACTACACGTACTTTTAGCACAGTACCGTACTCGAGTACAGTACCATCAACTTGGCGAACATATTTGAGTCGGTGCGTAAACAGAACAAGGGGGATATTCGCGGTTAGCACCGAGCACGGGCAGCAGGACAAGCATTGAAAAAAAGGAAGGGTTCTTGGAGTGGAGATGCTTTTGCCATCCATCGCCACGGTAGCTAGGAAGTGTGGTTGGCCAAGAAATACTTTCTTATTCTCTCTATCGTGCTGTATTGGGAGCTACCCTACCGGCATTGTACTCGTACTTAATTCTCACACATCTACTGTATGGCGGCGCTGGTACTTGTATCTTTTTGGTGCTTCCCCCCAAAATCGGAGCCAGAAGTAGGAGGGAGTAACAGGGAGGGAGAGGGATTCTTCCTAACTCGGAAGAGAAAGCTCCGTTCCCTTGCCTTTTCTCGAATCTGTGCACAAGCCTCCCCCACCAGCATCAGAATCACTCCCTCCCAAGCGGCACCAGCACTCCTCTGTGCGTGCGTGCGTGCCCTTTCCCAAAATCGCCCTCTTGCCTTCTATCATTCCAGCACAGATTGATTAACCGTCCATTCTGCTAGGTGCTGCCTGGTTGTCTCTTTTCTTCCCTTGATATCCCGTGCATACCCATACTCTCCCGCTCATCCCCCTCCCTCCTCCAATAACCCTCCTATCCATTCATTCCTCGGGTTGTACCGTTCTCGTCACTACGGTATCGCCATTCTCTTCAATTCCTCTTGCGCATTCTCGAGGACGGGTGTTTGTCCATTGCATTCCGTTACTTGTGATTTGGTGTTGTAAGTTCGTGCAGTACAGTACAGTACACACACGTCTTGGGATCTATTGGTTGTGGTGCAGCCGCATCAACGACGACTGTGTCTACGAACAGCGACAACGATATCTGCGAGCTCCCGGTTGTTTTTTTGGTCGTGAGCACTTTGGAGCCCACAAGTCAACCGAATCCACCTTGCACCCCCCAACACAACCAACACAACCGCTTCATCGATTGCGAGGCGAAGGTGATCTTTCTGCTACTTGGGTAGGTTTTCTCTTCCACTGCTCCCTATTATTGCTGCGGGGAAAGGGAAAAAAAAAAGAAAAGAAAAGAAGAGAGGAAGGGAGGGAGAGAGAAGGACCTTGTTAGTGATGACCAAAGCGGCTTATAATTTGTTTTAATAAAACTAGTTGGATACGCTGCTTCTCGTGGTATAGTTCGTTCGCCGCTTCAACTGCTCACCGGTCGGATCTGTTGCGGGATTGAAGCATTTCTTTGGATATCTCGCTGGTGGAATGACTGCAATATCCCGGAAATGACGATGGACGAAACTGACTCTTCCACTCAACGTTCGAGCATCTACGTTGCGCCTTTGCGGATAGAGAAGACACCCAAACCTAAGAGATCCTCGAGCAGTGCATCGAGAAGGTCTCGGCCAAAGAGCCAACCGCATTCACGAAGTCAATCCGTGGGCACACATTCACACACTTCCTCTCACCAGCAAATAACACCTCCCCCAACCCCTAATACCTCTCAGGATTCGCTAGCACAAAGCCCTAGGAAGGAGCTGGCATCACCTTTTCAGCCGTTTCTAAGGGCTTTTTACGAATTCCATCCAAACTTCTCGGCGGATTCATCCACGGTGACGTTGCCGTTGAACCTGGGGGATGTGATCCTCGTGCATTCGGTTCATACCAACGGTTGGGCGGATGGGACCATGCTTAGCTCCGGGGCCCGGGGCTGGCTACCTACTAACTACTGCGATGAATTTGACCCTGAACAGATTAGGCCCTTGTTGAAGGCTTGCACTGTGCTTTTCGACCAGTTCAGAGGTGGTTCCGCTGGGGGGTTGCGTGCTAGCCAGGTTGCTGTAACAAGTGTGGTTGCTGGCGTCCGGCATCTTCTAGTGAGTTTGGGGATTTTTCCGGTTATAAACGGATGAATGGATTGTCATCTGGTTACCTACTGACCACTGTTTCAAGGAGACAACCGAATGTTTGACCCGTGAAGCATCCAATGTCAAATCCAACGATGGTATTCGGAGGACCCGGAAGGTCTTGTTGACCGAACTGTCTACTTTGGTCAAGACAGCCAAACGGCTTCCTGGGCATTCGGAATACAGTTCAGCCAAAACAGCGACCGAAGATGTCACTGATGAGATGATTTTAAGATGTTTCAAGATTGTGGTGCGGAGTGTGAGATTTCTCGACATCTGGAATCAGCGCCATGACCTACAGAATAATTTTGGTGTGGAGGAAGCCGGGGGTGCTCAAGGGGAGGATGTAGATGACCATGTACCCCCTACACCCCCAGCTGACTCGACCACGCACAGTGTGGCTAGCTCGAGCTCTCTACGTGGAGATCAGACGCCGGAGGGCAGTGTCGAAGGCCACGATCATAGATCGCGTTCTTCAAGTGTAAGTCACTATCGAGGTTCACAACTCGGTTCGCCTCCCCAACGACAAGACTCTCACCCATTACCATCGACTCCTTATTCGCAGACACCTCGTGCAGGTAGCCCGTCATCGCCTAACAAGGAGGGCTTTGGAGGTCAGTTGCAACCTGCGTATGCGTTGGCTCGCCTCAATGTTACGCACGATGTGCTTTTGTCATATCTTGGGTCCTATATCGGTAGACTTTACCACGAGCCTCGATTTACTCCACAGCTCCAAATTACGCAGCAAGAGTCGGTTAAGGCGGCACGTGAGTTGTTAGCAATTGTGGAGGCAGTGGAAGCAAGAGATCCCAAAGCAGCGGCTTTAGTATTCGCAAAAGAGGCCATGTATGCCAGAATATCGACGTTGATCTCTGGCGCAAAAGAGGTTGTGTCCGGATGCGGGAGGTTGGAGGAAGTGGATGAAGAAGAGGGAATTATTATACCTGACGGTGGGAAGAAATTGGTTGACGCAGCAACGGGCTGTGTTAGGGGAGCTGGTGAATGTGTCGCAAAGTCGAAATTTGTTATCGAGAAAATAGGGGATTTCGAGTTGCGATTAGGGCCGTCCAATATAGGTCTTGGAATCACGACTACGGAGGGAAAACTAATTGACGACGCAATTGGGCTATCCGCGGCCGCAAAGGCAGAGCTAGAAAGGCAACTGATGCCCCCTCCACCTACCCCGGAGAAAATTCCGCCGAGACCTCCCCCAAAAGAAGATCCACTTGACCAAAAACCACTTCCGACACTTCCTGTTTCGGAGCTTGAAGTTGAGCGTCTCACGGTGGATACTACCATGGCCCGATCGAACATCACTTTCTCTGCAACCCTTCCTGGCAGTCCGGGTGCAGCTTCACCACGAAGACTATCTTCTGCATCTGTCATTGCTCCTCTTCCTCAACTTATCCCATTATTAACGCAAGATGAGAATACCAGTGAAACCGCTCAGAAGCGCGATATGGATTCAAAAACATTGCTCCAAAAGAGCATTAGGGCTGACAGCATTGGGGCTGCCTCAATAACTACTGCTGATTATACGATTTCTAGCAGCGTACGCGGTTCCGAGATAAGCATGACCTCGACTAGGGCAACTACCCCGGAGCCCGCTTCCTCCACTAGTATTTCTACCCCATTACTCAATCTCGATCTTACTATGATGGGAATCGAAGTCTCTCTTGAGAGTGGATCAGGAAGTGAGGTTTTGGCGCCCGAGAAGCAGGTTCCTGAAGATTTGACATTCAACAAAGACGGTCAGATTACGGGGGGAACTCTCCCGGCCCTTGTTGAACGACTTACGGTCCATGATTCGACCCCCGATGCTGTTTTCGTCGCTACATTCTACCTTACTTTCCGCCTTTTTACGACGCCGAAGGAGTTTGCGCAATCTTTGGTTGACCGTTTCGATTCCGTGGGAGATGGTTCTACCGGGGCCGCACCCGTTCGCCTTCGTGTTTATAACGTTTTCAAGGGTTGGCTTGAGTCGCATTGGAGGAGGGTGGTTGATGACGAAGCTTTGGAGATTATTGTTTCATTCGCGGGAGGTAAATTGAAGGCCATCTTACCGACAGCGGGGAAACGCCTTGAGGAGCTGGCAGAGAAAGTATCTTCAACCGATGGTCCCCTCGTACCCCGCCTGGTTTCTGGTATCGGGAAGGCTAGTACAGCTACTACCCAATATACCCTCCCGGAGACTCCTGTCCAAACCCCTGCTGTCACCAGGAACCAGCTCTCGCTTCTCCGGAGTGCCCTCACTGGCGGACCCAACCCAACCGTACTCGATTTCGATCCTTCGGAACTCGCAAGGCAGTTGACTCTGAAGGAATCTAAGATGTTTTGCTCTATTCTTCCGGAAGAGCTTTTGGCTCAGGAGTGGACAAAGAAGAGGGGATCATTGGCTGCTAACGTTCTTGCTATGTCTTCTTTATCGACGGACCTCGCCAATCTTGTCGCTGAGACTATTCTGGATGCCACTGATCCCAAGCGCAGAGCCGTCCTCATTAAGCATTGGATCAAGGTTGCCGATCGTTGCTTGGAGTTGAACAACTATGACTCCCTAATGGCCATCATGTGCACCTTGAACACATCGACTATCGGGCGTCTTAAGAGAACATGGGAACTGGTCTCGTACAAGACTAAATTGGTTCTTGATCACCTCCGGGCAGTCATTGATGTCTCAAAAAACCACGCTGTTCTCCGTGCAAGGCTACGCGGCCATGTTCCGCCGTGTTTGCCTTTCCTGGGAACATACTTGACCGATGTAAGTTTGTCAATCAATCATGCTCTGTCCTTACTAACACCTTTTCCCTTAGTTGACCTTCATCGATGTCGGGAATCCGTCAAAGCGGCCTGTTTCTGAGGGCTCGACCAAACAACTCATTAATTTTGACAAGCACGTCAAAACTGCCCGTATCATCTCCGAGCTCCAGCGATTCCAAATTCCTTACAGGATTGCCGAGGTGCCTGAGATGCAAGAGTGGATCGATGCACAGATCGACAGAGTGCATAACTCAAAAACGGCAGACGTTCAACATCTCTACCGCCGCTCCCTCCTCCTCGAACCCCGGGAGACTCAGCCAAGACCCGCGCCTGTTGAGCCTTCCACATCCGCCGCTGTTGCACCGAAGGAATCCCAGAAGATCGATTTGTTTAGTTGGGCACATGCCTTCAAGGTACCTACATCTACGACCTGAGGAATATTATGTTTGTAAAGTTTCTCATCTACGCCCACCGTTACTCGATTGTTGGAGCTGGTGTTGGCCGGCCTTTTGATTTTGGGCAGCTAGCTTGCTCTAGATGCTTACTGATGTCCGTGTTTTCTGTGCCGGGTTCGCGGCGTTTTACATACTCTTGCTTTCGACATGTTTATAGGATTCGATTCGGGTTCAACTTTTCAGCTTCATTTTCTGTTCTCTCTGTATCATCATCCTTTGCTTGGTTGTCTGATTTTTCTGTGCTTCATGGCGTTTACGAGTTTCATTTGGCATTACAGTGTCTGGGGGTTCTTTTCTTTGGGCGGAATGGAGCGACGCATTGGGCTTTCTACTATTCTACATTTTTACTCACCGTTTTTCGATTCCCCGATATGCTGCCGAAGTGGCTCCGTCCAACAGCGTGCGTATCTGTTTCCTTCAGAGGCTTATTTTTTCCAGCCTCGAGACCCCGATTGTGATACCGTTGCCTTCCTCTTCTTGCCCAATCCGTTGCCCACCCACCTTGGTCTCCTTTCCCTGTATGTATACCTTGGTCCACAGTTCCTAGCCCGCCAGTTTCGCTCATATTCACTCGCTGAGTACGGACCTAGGGAATTCGGTGTTTCCCTTTTCACCTTTTCAACACCCGGATGATTCTTCTAGTTTCTTGTACCCTTTGTTTTCGCTGTATGATTTTTCTTTTCTTTTTTTCCTCTGGATGGTTGGAACTGGATGGGATTTCTCACAAAAATAAAAACATCGGAGAGGGAAAGATTGGCTCTCGCCTACTTCTAAAGGATGGGAAAAGGGAAGAAAACAATGTAACCATGTATTTCGCTATTTGCGCTTTCCTATATACTACTTCACTTTCTTGTCTCGTCTTGTGTGTAGCAATATTAGGGGTGTTTTTTCTTTCTTTCCTATTCGAATTTGCGAAGCGGAGTACCGCATGCTGTGTTTTGTATGGAAAAGGTTGCATAAGAGATATGATAGTGTAGTTTAGGGAGTCGAAAATGGATGGGAATGAGAACATGTTTTTTCTTCAGGGGTTTATCATATGTCGGTTGATCGAAAGTCAAGATTTTCTTGGATGCCCTGATGTGGTTCTGCGATGGTGACTGGTGATGGCGGAATCTGGCGTGGGTGGTCGACTGCTCCCGAGTTTTCTCGGGTATGAGAGAGGTGGGATGGCGTGTTGGCCGAACTATGGCACAAAAGGAGGGCCTTTCATCTGGCACCAACACTAAATTTAGTGAAGACCGGTCGTTTTCAAAGTGACGGGCCCAATACTGCGTTGCTGGGTGGCGATTGGAATTTTGGCGTGAGTCAGGAGTCACTTTTCGTTCAGCACTCTAAGAGCCTCAATCAGCTCGTGTGAAGGTGGCTTAAAATTCTGTACGGGGCACCGTATCGGAGGGTATGATAAATTTAGCATACAAGGCAAATACCTACCCCCACTTAGCCAACACTTTCTCCACTCCTTTACAAATTTTCAAGAGTTCTGTAATGTTTCTTTTACGCTGCCCACGGGCTTGATTGTGCATCGTGTGGTTTCCACAGATCCTCATGGGCATTGGTGTTGCCACGGTCACCGAAACGCTGTATCCGGTAGACTACTTTGTGATAATTCAATTCACTGCACGACTTCTTCCCTGAGATAGAAGGAAACCAGATCCGTTTGATGTGCTCGAGTATTGTCGACTGCCACTCGAGCGACGCATCATATCCCGCACATGTGACGCACCCGAAACTGCAAAATACATTTCAGTAACCGGTTCCATTGCTGGTAGTGATCTGAATCGTGATCTTCAGGGCTTGGGTTCCTTGCATTATGTACGATAGGCGGTATCATATCCGAAAATGATTGGAAGATGGACCATTCAGCCCTCGGCGAGAGAGGAAAGTGTTCAACCCTTACCCATACGCCTCTGGTCGAGGCTATGGCGATCCGACACGGCTTGCGGATAAACTATTTGTGGCAGCGTGTGTCTTATCATAATATTATGATAGTTGAAACTCTGTGCGCACGGCTTACTCGTACATTATTAATGGGCCCCAAACACAATGCCCTCGGGTCGGAAGGCACTGGTTCTCTTATGGTATCATACGGTGTGCTCGAGGGCTAGTTGGTGACAAGTGACCCTACCGTGCTACCACCGGGTGAGATCCTCTGTTGTACGAGTACTGTACCGGTCCTGTAGCAGCAGTCTACATCTCTCTTCATCTTCATCCTCTCCTCACCTCCAGCCTCTCATTTCTATTCCTCTTCGCTTCCTCATCAACAACACTATTGCACTCCTGTCCTACCTCCTCGAGCACCGGTACCGTGCCGGTGGCCGTGATCTCGCTGCCTCGGTGCTGTACCTACTACAGCACTAAGCTGTCCGGTTGCATCCCTTTTGGGTTCATCAATTACGTCGTGTAACTGAGAATAGTACGGTACACACATTCCCCCACACGGATCACCTACGTATCGTGCACAGCTTCCATCCATCCAAGCACACTCACAACACATCTCACCTCCCTCTTTACCCCCTACCGAGTTTTCCGTTCCCCCTCCCCATCTTCCTCTTCTGAGCAAAGCACAATCCTTAGGGCAACAACAACAACAATGAGCCGCCGTTCTCCGCCTCCGGGCTCATCCGCTCGCTCAACATTCAATAGGTTCAAGGACTCTATGCCGGACAGGTTCAACTCGTTACAGAGCAAAATTGAGAACAGGATATCCCAGGTTCCGGACAAACTATCTCAGGTTCCTGACAAACTCTCCCAGGTCCCCGATAAGTTCCAAGATTTTCGACGCGAGACACAAGCTCAACTTCCTAGGAGTATTTCCCCGGCTTCAGTCGCAAAAGCACCGGAGGAAGGGGATCCTAAATACGATCACGCCCTAGCCGGGCTGGCTGCGAAGATCCTCTATAGGGCTGGTGCCTGTCCGATTAGTGGTGGGCCGCTGTTAGTTCTCTGTGCGGCTAGTTTTCCGGACACCAGGCAACTGGATTATAACGAGCTGTTGCCATATGTGTTGAGTATTTTACCCGGAGACGATGAACTTGGCGAGGAGAGCGATGGTGGTGGATATTCTGTTGTGTTTTTCGCCGGAGGTGGAACTGCCAATGTTGGCGGTAAGGAAGGAGGGGCGGGTGCGGGAAAGGGGAATAGACCATCTTGGGCGTGGACCTTACAGGCTTATCATCTGGTGCGTTTTGCTCTTAGCTCAAGCCTGTGAATTTCACGAAGCACTTACAGATAGGACAGTTAGGGAGAGCCGTGAAGAAGCGAATCCGGAAACTATGGGTTGTTCATGAGAGGGCATGGGTTAGAGTCATCTTGGAGGTAATGGCAGGGGTGGTATCCGTCAAGTTCAGGAAGAAGGTCGTTCACGGTATGTGAAACCCCCACGCCCACATTTCGATATCTGATATATATAATTTCCCCTGATTTCTAACTTTTGGCCGCCGGAATTTTTGGTTTTGCATTATAGTAAACACCCTCACTGATCTCGCAAACCATATCGACATCACCCAACTTCACATCCCTCCGGCAGTGTACCTGCATGACCGAAAGCTCGTGTCAGCAATCTCAATTCCGGATCCCCCATCCCCAATATTCGGGCGCCCACCCTTCCATACTGCCGCCAACCCACCACGGGTTGGCGAAAACATGCCACTTCCACAAGTCCTGATAGATACTGCGCGTTATTTGAGATCACAGTGCTTAAGTGTGGAAGGGCTTTTCCGAGTGACTCCGTCTCAGGCCCTGCTCGATGTCGCCCGGGAAGCGTATGACCGCAAGCAGTATATCAAATGGGATGAGTGGGGTCCACATATGGCAGCGGCTTTAGTTAAACTATATTACCGCTCCCTTCCGGAGCCCCTCATCCCTATGAGGTTCTACCAGGATTTGCTATCACTCGAAGAAGCGGGGGCCGGTGACGAAAAGGCATTCTTGAAGGTCAAGGATCTACTGGATGATGGTTTGCCCAAGAGCAGTAGGGTTCTTTTATTAAGGCATTTATTGCCATTGCTTGCGTTGGTTGCACAGAATTCGGCGGTAAACAAGATGAATCCGAACAACTTGGCCGTTTGCATTGCACCAAGTTTATTAAAGTCGGACGATATGATGGCTGATGCGAAAGCTTGTAATGGATTGAGGACTTTTATCCAGATAGCTATCGAGAGGGTCGAAGAGCTAGCACCAGAGCTGCCAAGTAGGGACGGCCCAGTGCGTAGCGGCAGTGGGAGTGGCTCAAGCGCGACCGGGGTGCCGCCACCCTCGGGATCTCCCCCGCCATATTCGATGGGTAGCATGCAGCCTGTGCAGAGGAAAAAGCTTCCGGGTATCATGGGCACTAAGGAAATGGAGGGTGGAATGACTGCCCGGAAACCAGTCCCCGACAGTGCTTCTAGTTCTGTCACATATCTTCCCCTAGCCAACGAGCCGGATGAAAAGAGCCAATTAGTTGAAAAGGCCGAAGCTGAAGAACGAAAAGAAGATATCAGACGCTCTCCCACCCCAGGACTCCCGGCCGAGGAGGAAGAAGCCCCCCGAAGGGGCTCCGTTCTGTCAATCCCCACAAGAACGAGCGAGGGAATATTACGGAGAAAAGCGTCGTTCCAGAGCCTTACGAACAACCCACCCGAAATAGGTCCGAAACCCCCAATCCTCTCATCGTCGTCTTTAATTCCAGACCCATCACCACCATCCCCTATTACGAAGCCACCGCGTGTAATACGCCGTGCAGCCTCTTCCACATTCCCCTCCTCGTCATCACCTCGTTCCTCATCGTTTTCATCCCCATCCGTCGCCAGTATCGCCAGCTCGCTAAATCAGTCCCAGGTGCAGAAGAATGCTCAGCTCAAGAGCCGGACGCCCCCGCCACCAGTTATACAGAGGGCAAAAACCGAGGTTGGAAGTATGAAGGGGCGGGGTAAAGTTGTCGAGGAGTTGAGGGCTCTGTATGAGGAACGGGCTAAGGGTGTTGAAGTCCTCGTTAGAAACACGCCCGGTAGACTGAAGGGGAAGGGGAAGGAATGATTCAGGTTGGTCGGGATGGTATGAGTGGGTGAATGGGCGGACGCGGAATCGGAGTTTTTCAGTTTGGTCTATTTTACTTTTGCTTTTTATCCTTCGACATGCCCCTCATATCGAGGGTTAATGATTGTGATGCAGTGCGAATTATGTGGAATAGTGATGGTGGCAGTATGTTTGTAGTTCGTGCAGAGGTGACGAGGGTTTGGAAGAGTGAGACAGGGTGGTCGACACTCATTTTTTTATTTTTATTATAATACGAGTGGTCACCTGTGTGTATTACACAGTTGATTTGGCGGCAATGAATAGGGATAGCTTAAATCAAGTAAATAATGGTAATTATGAAAAATAAACACCAAGTAAGCAGAAATACTGATCGTGGGCAAGAACTTTTTGAATTAAGAAATGTAAAAAGCAGAGAGTAAATGTAAAGTAAAGCAGTATAATTAAGGAACAGAGTGTAATACAGGAAGCAAAGATGAGAAACAGTGAAGCAACCCTCATATTAGACAGGATTCCAGAGGATGAAACCTTAGTGAAAACTATCATACATTTTTGCATACAGTAGCCTAAGTCTCCCTCCATCTAAGTTAGATAAGAGGAACTTCAGATAATTCCAACCTGTATCATAGTCCAGATAATGCTACCTTGAATTGTTCATGACTAAATGGGTTTTATCTTAACTCAATTCCTACATGGTTAAGAGACTGTGCTTGTACTTGTACTAGTACATTGGGGGTTATTTCTGTTGTCATATTGAACTCTCACCTCTGTATTTCCCTTTTTACACTAAAACCTCGGTTTATAGTGATGACAGCCCCTTACCCCACTCCTCCTATACTAGTGCATGGTAACTCTCAGCACCTCCAGAGATCCTCTCGGGGGCACTTTTCTTTTGTTGTTTTGCAGGGGCACGATAAGTGTAATATAGACCAACGTCTGATTATTACCCACTCCCAATTCGTCGGCGTCGTCGGGTGAGCTGTCGTGATCGCGTCGGGGAGCTCGGAAACATAATACTGTACTGTACATAACTTACCGGTATGTAACTTAGTGACGGAGCCAATTGTCGAGACCAGGGCAGAACCTCCCATCCTCGGGAGCGCCTAGCGGAAGCGCCGCTGGGGGGAAGGATATTGATACTGCAGTAAGTTATAAATTTACGTCCCGGAGCGGAGGGTATGAATCACACCCACCGAGTACCGGTACGGTACCATTGGTATCTTGATGGCCCAGCCCTGGCACGGGCCAGATTGGGCTTATCACCGTCTCTGCCCCCTCCCGCTTAAATTTATTCCCTTATCCCGCTCAAGTATCCACCGTCAACCACCCAAGATGAAAGAAATAAAAGAAGGGGAGGGGAATTTCCCCCCCACCCCCCATCTTAAATTCATAAAGTATTATGATACTTACCTCCCCTAACCACAAAGATTCGTATCATGACAATTTTTTTCTTTCTTTTTCTTTTTTCCCCTTCCCGGCACGGCACCGCGATCATTCACGGAATGGTCCCAGTTCGCGATCAGGTTTCGGCGAGTGCGGAGGTGGTTGATTATTATAACTTAATTTGCCGTCCTTGACGGCTCTATTATGAGTACAGTACACTAACCAACTAACCGCTACCAAGCTGGCTAGCTAGCTAGCTAACTAACTAACTACCGGTAGTGAATAGAGGAGTAAAAAAAAAAAAAGTTCCCGGGGAAACCAGTGACCAAAGGTCTCTCTCTCTCTCTCCCTCATGCTCGCGGCGGTGACTTATAGGTCGTTGGGGCTGGTGTATCGCTATGGGGAGGAACATTGCAATTGCTAGTATCGTAATTTACGGTTGAACGTCCTGTGTTATCGGTGCTAAGACGGTTTATCATACGTACCCTCTGATATCTGGAGCATTCTTTCCTTTTTCTTGGGGGGGGGTGGCGCTTGGGGGTGTAGGATTGGTCTGAGTGCGTGGGTATGATATAATACGCAGTCTACCTGGGTGGTGGCCAGGGTCATGTGGGATCACTCGGTTGGCACGCCTGGTTATCATACTTGCCGGAGTGGCGGCGACACGGGAGCTCGAGTGCTCGGAGTTTTGTTTTTTTTCCAGGTGTATTGCGGGGATGGTTGGGCGTGGTGGCGGCGTCGGCGGCGGGAGGATGGGCTGTGGAATTATATAGAGGAAAGTGAACCGAGCTGCACCATTCCACTGAGTATGAGTAAAAGCGTGAGCCGTCCCTATGCTATGATGTTTTTATATCACTCCAACGGCACATGGCCCAGTAATTGCGCTTATACCCCGTCCCCTTGTGAAAGCAAACGCAGCGCTGTCGATATGATACCCGCCTTCCCAAACAACGCTCTCCCAAGGCCGCTGGCTCTACTGAACCACGGGAAGAATCTTGAATGCATGACAATGCGCCATTGAAAAGCCCATCATGAGAGCAAGAGCGTGTTGAGCAGGCTGGGATACTGGATAGATCTTAAGTACATGCGATAGTAGCGAGGGTAGTGATAACTAACATAATAGATGAAGGACTCCAAATTTAGTATAGGGTGAATATAGATAGATGGAGGAGTGCAGTGAGATGAAGCATTGATAAACCAGTACCGTACGAGTAAAATACAAACATTCTACTCGCTATAATGCTATACCTAGCCAACTTATTCCACGAGGAAGACATAGCCAAACACCCTAACCCTTCCGAACCGAAACACGACATAATTCCGCACCGAATTTAAAAGATGCGGTTGTTTTCCCTGATCCTCTTGTTCAACTTCTAGCTAAAACAGTCTATATGAACACCCATTTCTCTGACCCTTCCAATTACTCTTGGAATCCTTAGTGTGATAGAATGCGCTATGTTTGAGAAAGGGTGCCAGTTCAAGGCGCCGGTTCCACTTGCTTGGACAGATAAATAAGGTTGCTAGCCGAGAAGGAAAGCATATTAATACAATGATTGGATGACCTAAGCCTCCTCCGGCAAAGTTGCCCACGATGTAGGGTATAATACGATCGCACACGGCGTTGAGGGTCGGAAAGGGTAGTGGTCCTATCCAGCAATGCTGGGGGTACTGACATTTGCACAAGCACCGCGCCCGCCTCACGCATTATCGTTATCACGAACCGGTGGTAAAAAGAAAAAAACCATGCTCTCCCCCACGGCTATCGCTGATCTTTCAGTGACCCGAGCATACCTTGGCTCTGTCATCCCGACGCAGTTCATTATCAACCCCGAATACCCGGAAACATTGCCGAGTACAGCCACGCCCAGGCCTTTCAATGGGCCCATAGATTGGACTTGTTACTCTTGCCTGCTCCTTTGCCGTGCACGAGTACTCGAGTACAGCGCAACCAATCAGTGCAGGAAGGCATCTGTATGGGCGGTAGTCTGCCCGCCAATTTGATACGGCGGGCTCCACCTCCGACCCTGGGTGCCCCCGATGTTGACCGTCCTCTCTCCGCGAGCGCCTGCAAGGCTCATCTCCTGTATGCGGCCCACCTTAGTTGCACTGTAGCGAAAACAACCCCCCGCACATTCCCTGGAGCTCCGGGAATCTTGCTAGGCCAGATGTGAAATTGGCATTCATGTAGGCGTTATATGTCAAACTCGCAGGCCCAGATGGTTGTAGCAGGGTCCCTAAGTCTAATTTGAAACCACTAGCCCCGGACGGGGACAGCGGGGCAAATCAAATACGGTATGGAAAAGCAAATCTCCCTATGTCGGCCAAAATGTCTCGAGAGAGCGAGGAAATTCCCTCAAGGCTCCGGTTGTGAACGCTGCAAAATTCCACGATCCAAGCAAGGCTATTATCCCTTCATGCCAGTATCTCGTTCACCTTTGACCCCAAACACAGAGCCACGCTCAGCACAGGACGGGCTCCCAGTAATCAGTCGTTCGAACCCAAGGTGTTGCACCTCCGAATGAGCAAGTGGGCGCGAAGGGAGATACCATAGCAGTGCACTGAAAGAGGGGCATCGGACCATTATTGGCTCTCCTTTATCGATAAGGGCTACTCACTTTCTCATATGTATGCCGGAGCCCGAGGCAGGTCAGGTATACACTCGAGTGAAAAAACTTCCGCAACTTAGTCCCCAGATAAGTGGCAGGAGAAGTGTCCCTCCACTAGGGAATCTGTCCCGGTGAATGGCCCTGGATACGACGCTGTAGCTAGCCGTAGCCGTATACGTTCCCCGAAGTCCGGAGCAACGTTTCTCGATGATATGTAGCGCCATAGTGTTGCGATAACTTGCTTTCTCCGTCAAGCCTCAACCGAATGAGGGATATTCCACAGTAACGCGGTGGATTAACACCGCTACCCGTACTGATCGCGGTATCATGCCTACGTCGCGGGGTGTGATTTGCTGAATGAAGGGTCGGTGATTCGAGTGGAAAGTTAGCGTGCCACAGGGCTGCAGCAGTAGCACTTGTAGTCTAGCAATGCAAGCTCTTCTATGACTACAACTACTCGGGTACCGGTATTCCTCTCACTGCCGCACCCACAGTCTTTCAGACTTCCTCACGGTCTCCTGGGCGCCGTAGCAAATGGATCCCGTACTGTACATACCGCTAATGCGGGGTTCGAGCACCCCGAACTCCAAACAAAGGGCACAGAACACCCCCCACCCCTAATGATCCATGTAAACCCTCACCGCTGGGGAACCCGGAAAGTTCATTTCCGAGTGATCGTCCAAGACGCAAGAAGTGGCGGTTATATGGGATTGTACTCGTACGGTACTGTACCGTAGGAAATCAATCAAATATAACCCACATGAGGGATACGGCACGGGAAATGACTCTGATTGGCCATGACGGGCAGACAGCAGGGGACAAGCCAGCTACAGTACTTGTACGAGTACCTGTAGTCAGCGGAGCGTTGAATTTCCAGGATGGAGGGAGAAGGCGTTTATCGAAAGTTTCAGGGAAGACTGGCATGCCCACAGGGACGGGTGTGTTTCAGGTTCGGGATGGGTACCAGTGCTATGCTGGGCCTGGGCAGATCCCATCATACACATACCGTATCTTTCTTTGAAGCTCAGGGTGGGTGGGCTTGCCGTTTCGGTGCTCGGGGAGGGGAAGGGTTCACAAAGAATTTGGGAAATTGTCGCGAGCGGCACGGTGTTCTCCTTCTTCACGCTGGGATGAAAATCAAGGTTCCGGCGCTGGCATCAATGTGTTCTGGTATTTTAAATGCAACGGTTACCAGTACGAGTACTCGAGTACCGTACCGCGCACCTTCTATTCCCATCACTGCATACCGCTATCTGTTTTGCCCGTACTCGAGTACATCTGCATCATAGCACATGCAACGCTTGTACAGGTACTGGTACTACCGTACCGGTGGTCCTGAGGATACCGGTGGTCCTGAGGATACCGTTGATCAGTTTGGCCTACTTTCCGCATTTCTTTCCTTCTCGGAAGACTTGGAAGGCGGCACGGCGCTTGCACGGGTACTCGTACAAGTAAACAAAGTCACCTCGTCTTGGGTTAAAAATAACGGCTTGTCAGAGACTTTACAAAGAAGTTTGCTGATCGTAATTTAAAAAAAGATGGGGTATCATAGGTTAACCTCGAGGTTCCCATTCGGGCTCTCCTGCCCCTGGCGTCGCGCCCCCTTGTCCCGTTGTGGGTCGTTTTAAGTTCTCTTTATGCTTACTCTTTAGGGTAAGGGAATGTACTGAAACGGGCTGCGCAGCCTCCTTTCTTCAGCCCGAGAGGAATCTGGATCATCAGATCAATCTCGATCTTCCACCCCCGATATCTTCCCCTTCCACAAATTTTAGCCTTCTGCACGTTCGAGTTGAACCGGTCGGTTTGGCGTTTCTGAAGGGGGTCCCTTTTGCAGAGTTCTTACTGTACTTTCAGGTACCGCGGCTGTGCGGGTGGGCTCTGCAGTGGTGTAAGAATTAGTAGACGACTGTCATCGCCACCGCGATCAAAATCTTGGGCAGCAGCTGCATGGACCTCACAAGATGCTGAAGACCTTGGAACTTCTCCTCCAGTATATGTACAAGTAAGTATGCTTAGCCGTTTCTTTCACCTCGGTGCTTTTTTCCTTGTGGGAAGAGTGGGTACTTGTACCGTAACCACCTTGGCCCGCTTCGGGCCAAGCGAGGTGGAATGCAATAAAACGGTGTAACGAAAAATTGCACGAGGGGAGGGGAGCGGGCACAAGGGGGTCTGAGAGGTGCACGCTTTGGAAGGAACAATTGAACTCGAGCGCGATCTGCGAGGAATCGCCTTTTCCTTTCGAATGCAAAGTCATCCATCCATTCATACCGGTATGATACAGTACTTGTAATACCGGTAATACTGTACCGGTGGGCAGGGGCTCAAATTGGAAAGGTGGGGAGGAGTTCTCCGTCTTTTACTTTGCGGGGCGGTTTGACTGGTGACCTACCGTACCTGCTGAGGAAGGCTTCAGTTGGCCATTCGAGATCACTCGACTGATATGAAAATGATGCTCCAAAGTGCCTTGATAAAGAATATTTTGCACCAAGTTAGATACCCCCTCAATACCTATAAAAGTTACATATAGTCTTCTTTATACCAAGTCGAGGTTATGATTTATGTATTTTTCATCAAGCTAGATACCTTTGCGAAACCCACAAGGGCAGTCCTTTTCACACAAAGCCAATACCAAGTCAAATACACTACCCCCTTAATGCCTATAAAAGTTACATATAAGCTTCTTTTCACCAAGTCGAGGTTATAATTTGTATATTTTTCATCAAGTTAGATACCCCACAAAACCCACAAAGAGGCTTTTTCACACACAGCAGACATAATTTGTAGAATGTTTTCCACCAAGTTAGATACCCCCTCAATATCAACAAAAGTTACATATAATCTTTACATCAAGTTGAGGTTATGATTTGTATGTTTTTCATCAAGCTAGATACTTCTGTAAAACCTATAAACGGCATACCTAAGTTACCCCTCTGAAGGTCTCTGCTAGCCCTCCTCCCCTGGTGGTACCTCAACCTATGTCCCTTCCCGTCTGATCTCTAGGCAGAGAGATACGCATCCCTAGGCCCCTGTACATAGACAAATTGTAAAAACAAATTTACTGCTATCTGGAGTATCATGATACTTGTACTGTATTGTCTACTATTATTACATTTTCCACCAAATGGGCATGGCTTAAGGTTGTCTTGTATGTGAAGTCGAAAATCGGCCCTTTCAATACAAGTGATATGGCAACAACCAAACAAGTGCTATAGAATGATGCATGCTAGGCACCTAAAACTCATAAGTAGATACCATGGTAAGCAGTTGGATTAGGGGCAGGCATACTGTACAAGGGTCTAGCATTTAGCTTTCAAACACAAAAACACCCTACTTACAATCAAGTACCCAGTTTACATACTTAACAAAGTCAATACTCCGTACAAAATTTAATATTCATACCCATCATGAGTTTCATGTCCTCAAGGATTGCCCATAACTGGGCAACGGCAACCTAATGCAGAACTTGCAACTCACTCCTACCAACCACAAGTTCAACAGCTTTCAATGAATTAGCTATACAGAATATCAGAGTGCCTGAGTCACTATTATCTGTAAAAAGACTACTTCTTGAGCTACTAAATGAAGAAATAACTGCAACTTCTTCCATCATAAAGCCATCCTTCCAGATGATGATACCAACGTCATTTACGTTACTCTTGGTTTGGCCTGTTGTTCTTCCAGTTTTCCACACTATGGTCCCTGGCTCCAGCAAACCCATTCCGTAAACCTTCTCATCTCTAAAAATATGACTGGTAGTGAGTAGATTTCTGATCATTCTATTCAGTTAGTACTGGGAATACTAAATACTAATAAGAAACTGAAATTACTTACCTTGTATTGCAAGCTTCAAACAATGTTTAGTGTAGCTGCAAGGGTATTATGGCGCTCTTGACTGCAAACTTCCTCTTCCCTTGGGATCACAATTGTTCGTTATATCTTTGCAACATGGGAAATCTGTATTCTGCCTTTGCTACCAAAATCCTAAGGTCAGGTCCAGTCAGCTTTATTTTGCTCTTGTCATAAAGTTCAACACCATCATTATCTGGTAGTTCGGTATATTTCTCTCTTAGGAAATCAACTTCATCTTTACAAGCCTTCAGTTTACTAACACTCTAAGAAATCAGACAATATTTGGTGTATAGAATAATTTTATCCTGTCAGGCCATAATTTTTAAACTACTTAGTGACACGACACTGGAACCAACATTATACTCCAGAAGGTAATGTCTGTATATTATGCCTTACTTCTTCCAGTTATTTGTTACCAACCAACCCCTGAAGCTGCCTGCTTCTGATATAGAATATTTTCCTCCAAGGGAAATATCTGCAAGTCCCGCCTTTTCCTCATGGTTCACATCCAAGCACCATGTGAGTAGTATATCTATAGTTGGTACTCCCTTGTCTCTTATCACCAGCAGTGGGATATTTACAATAGCCTCACATAATATGATGGATCCAATCCATCCTGGTTCTCAAAATCCAAATTGTATTGTTGGAACCATTACCTCATGTAGCTTTTTGCTGTACTGTAGGATTGTACCATAGCTGCCATGTTGTTTGGAGTTTTGCAGAAGGGTATGAATGAATTTAAGTGTGATGTTTATTGCTTCAGAGGGGAGCCCTCCAGGAAGCAATACCTCATAGCCAATTACCCTGATGCTTATGGGGTGGTCTATGGTGCCACCAGTTTTGGTATTGTGGTAGGCTAGTACATAGATCAGAGCGGTGGGCTTCAAGATTAAGCAAGGATGCAAGGTATTTATTTTATCAGTTGTGTCAACTTCCTCAACAATTTAAGTGGAAACAAGTTTCTAGCCCTGTTTTAACTACTCTTTCCTACAATCTAGTTTCCTCTCATGCTGATAATTCAGGGCTTTCAGGCTGGCTACAGACTCAGGACACATCAGTTGTATGGTACAGAATGTAGTAGAAGGTATAAGAGTTTGTCAAATAAAAGTAAAACTTAATGAACAGAAGAGGTTATGTGTTAGGGAGAGGTTGTGTATAAGGGAGAGGTTGTGCATTAGGCTACCTTTTAAATATAAGTTGCAGTGGGGGGTATGACTATAGTCAGTTAGTGTTTTCTGGCTTCTGAGTTCAGCAGAGCATTTCACTCAAATTTCCTAATCCGGTTTGGTCTCACGCACCGGAGAAGTCTCTTTTTGAAAGTGGACCCGACTTTTGTCAACCCCCTAGTATAGTACTGTACAGTATTTAAAATTGTGGTAGGGGTTTAACAAAAAAGACTGTCTGGTCTCTTCATACTGGGGGCCCTATCAATAGAGTATTGCACTCCAAGTGTCTCTGGTGCTGGGGGACAAGCAAACCAAAACTCAGTGCCCAGGGAATCGATCATTTGGTAGTCATCCACCAGGTTGTGGGCGGCAGCCATGCACTCAGTAATGGTGTGATTGCAGGGTCTGGAGGAGGATGTTCTTTGCTCAAGAGGATCAAGAAAAGGATGGCAAAACACCCCAAAGAGGCATCCAGGGCACCACTTTTGGACCACCGTGGTGAAATATCACTTTGCTGGTATCGTGCCCTACTAGTACTCGAGTACCTGTACCGTATCGTTGTGGAGAGGTTCGCTTGCGATGTTTGGCGCCGATTGAATGGTCGCAGGCTTCGTCGTGGAAATAAGGCATCCTCCCCCTTGGCCCCTCCCGGCGGTTCGATTTTTGGCCGCTTCCCCTGCTGGGCCAACCACACAGAGCGTTCCCCTTGCAGATAGCGTTGGGTTGGTTGCGGGAAATTGGACTGGGTGTGTGTGAGCGCGTGCACGACCGCACTACCCTATCCCCCCCCCTTTTGGCCACCCTGGCCCTCGTTTCCTGCTTTGGAAGCTGTCTCGGCGCTGGTTTGAGGGTCTTGGCTCTCATTAGTATCCCCTTTTTCAAGGACCACTCCTCCCACCCCTTCTTCTCTCTCTTGCCTACCCATTCTCCCACAACACTTCACGACACTCACTCTTTCTCCTTTGATTTTTTTCTTTCCTTTCCATTTTTAATTGCTCCGTCATCGTTTCGCCGGGCGTAAGCGGTATACACCAGAGGCGATACACTGTCCTCATCCGCTGCTACCACAAGCAAACATACTATCTCAACATTTAACCTAGTCAGCCCTTCGGCATTACAGAATTTCACCGTCGCTCTTTATACAACACATTATTTGGCAATCTACAAACATTCACAATGCGCTTCACTGTTGCGGCTCTTGGTGCATTGGGATTCCTTGGCAGTGTAGCCACAGCCATCAATACTATTGAGCTCAAGGGCAGACACTTCGTCGATAGCGTGACCGGAAAGGAGTTCTTCGTACGTTGTCCTCAGGGCCCTTCGAGCAGGCACCGCTCAGTGCTAATTTGCTAATTGATGCTATGTAGATTAAAGGGGTCGATTACCAACCTGGTGGTGCCGCTAGTGTCGAGAAGGGAGGAGACCCCCTGACCGATCGCGATAAGTGTGCTCGTGATGTCTACCTTTTCCAAAAACTCGGTATCAACACAATTCGGGTCTACTCCGTAGATCCCACCCAAGATCATAACGAGTGTATGACGATATTAGCGGCTGCTGGTATCTATCTGGTTTTGGACGTCAACACTCCGCTTGAGCATCAGCACTTGAACAACGAGGAGCCATGGACTACGTACACTTCCATGTACATGGAGCACATATTTGGTGTTATGGACGTGTTCTCTGGGTATGATAACACGTTGGCCTTCTTGGCTGGTAATGAAGTTATCTTCGACCCCGCCTCCGCTAAGGCATCTCCCAATTATGTCAAGGCTGTTGTGCGTGACATGAAGGCCTACATCACCAACCAAATTCACAGACGGATCCCTGTTGGTTATTCCAATGCTGATGACTTGAGGTTCCGTAAGGCTCTTGCTTCTTATCTTGAATGTGGTGACACTGGATATATTGATTTCTGGGGTGTCAACTCGTAAGTTTTCCTCCGGGTTGCATTCGGAGATGACTCTAACGTGTTTTGAAGGTACCAGTGGTGTGGTAAGAACACCTTCGAGGGGTCGGGTTATGATAAGCTTGTTGAGGACTATAAGGACTACTCTCTTCCTATCTTCTTCACCGAGTAAAACCTCCATTCACTTTATTATCTTGACAACTTTGATATTAACGAGTGATTAGGTATGGTTGCAACAAAGTCCGCCCCAGAATCTGGCAGGAGGTCGACGCTCTTTACTCTGAGAAGATGACCGGCGTTTTCTCCGGCGGTTTGGTTTACGAGTTCACCCAAGAGGCCAACGACTATGGTCTCGTTACCATCAAGGATGAAAATGCTGAAATCCTTGGCGAGTTTGATTCTCTCAGTGACGCGTTCGCGAAAACCCCTAAGGAGCCAACCATTCCCTCCGGTGCTAGCAGCCCAAAACGCCCTGTTGATTGCCCTGCGGCGAGCACGATGACCGGCATCACCGCCAACTTTACTCTTCCCACCACTCAAGGTGCTGAGTATATCAAGAACGGTGTCGACGGGACCAAGTTCGTGAAGGGAAAATTCGTCACAGGCCCTACTTTCACTACCACTCATAAAGTTACCGATAGTGGGGGTAATGAGGTCACCGACAAGACTGTCAAGGAAGTCGCTACGTACACGCAGTCTGCTATCCCTGATGGGGGCATTGGAACCAACATTGGTGGTGGCACTGGAAGCGGTGGGGAGTCCAGTAGTGGATCTGGGTCAGATACCGCTTCGGACAAGAAAAATGGTGCTGGTTCTGCCAAGAGCATCACCTTCGGGTGGTCGCTCGGTTTGATCGCAGTTGGGTTTGCCGCCTTCTTGTAAAATTGGCTTGAGTGCCCTTTGTTGCGGTTGTGAAATGATTTCCTTGTTTGTTTTTTTGGTGTTATAACGGGTAGAATCTAATCAGTAGATGGAGGGGAAGTCCCGATCTGCCCTTCATCTATCTATCTCCGGATCTGTAAGTCGGTCACGTTTGTGATTAAGTTGAGCAACAGGAACGGACTTATTTAGAGGCTCTTACATATTTTTCTTGCATTTCTTCACGGGCCTTCGGACGATTTTGATTCGGAGCGCTGTGGATTGGGTGTCCTTGTTTTCGCTTTACGATATTCTCGCGCCTTTTTTTTTATATATCGTTCCCTCCTAGTTTTCGCTTGTAAACTGTGCAAAAAAAATTCATTCCTGCGTTGTCGATCTTCTGGATGGTGTGCTCGCAAAGTAGTTGATGTCAAGGCCTTTTATATCGTGGTCTGCCGGACAGCCAGGTCACAGGATATTGTGAAGTACGCGTCGGTTGCGTCCACTGACGCGTCATATTATTCGAGTTTGGATAAGTGGGGACCGGCATACTGTCCATGGGAGGGGACTTGGGGGGGCTATTTGTAGGAACTGTTTCAAGTACTGCACACGGACCGTCTCCTCACACTGCCGCAGTTGCAAATGTGGTATCATACTCAAATCTGGTGCTGTGCTCGTGCCCGTGTGCTCTTCAAGCTCCATTCCTTCTCCTTCTCCCTCTCGCTCTAACATCGTAGCATTATTATCAGCATCCTAGTTGCCCGCCCTTCCTGGTTATTATGGGGAGCATCGCAGGGGTACTGTGCCCGTGTATAATGCTGTGCAGCAGCAACACCTGCTAGTCAAATTGGCTCCGCATCGTGCTTGTAACCAATTCGATATTGAGGGACAGGAAGTGTTTGGAGAACGAATTTTATTCCAACTGAATTTGAATGGGAAGGGGGAATCGAAGGGGAAAGAAGGTCACATAGACCGGTGCAGTCTACTTGTATAAGTCCAACTCAGCGGTGGACGAATGTTTGCCTCCCCGGCACGATAAACATTGATAGTCCTTGAGCCCTCTGACTCCGGCCTGTTTTCCGGTGCGGATTCCGCAAGAGTTGAGGGTTCACCTCACCACTGTGCCGGTAGGAGGAGGGAGGCCACAGTTAAGCGGCAGAGAAAGAGGCTTCCAGGGATCGTCTCTGTGGCCGAGAATGGCTTCTCCGGGCGTGACCTCTCGTTGGCAAGAGACCACGTCCCTGCATTAGTCTGCGGAACGAATGGACCGTGATTTCTGAGAGATGGAGACAAGAATCCGGCCTCCACTTACCGCACCGTACCTTGGTGGTTCGCCATTCTGTCCCTTTGGCTTCCCGGTATACTTCACCTTAACAGCGAGAAGTCGCTGATTCCGCCAAACTGGGGGAACTTGGGAAGGGGAACTCACCACTCTCCTACCTTCGTTCCATACTTTTTTTCTTTTGCTCACCAGTCCCGCCACTCCTGCTCAGACATCTCCGGTGCCGTCTGATATTCGCATCTCCACGGACCGAGGGGGGTGGAGGGGTGAAGCGGAGTGGGTGAGTGACCGACGAATCGTGGAACCCCCAAATCCTATCGTAGATGGTGAAGTCAGGCGGGCGGGCTTTTTACCGACTCGCCCCTCCTTCGTGTCTGTCTGTTTTTAGGCTCAAGGAAGGAAACGAGTTGTGACAGGTATTGTGAATATCTATGACACAGGTGAAATTGTTACTGAAATTCAATTTTGTAGTTTGCACGTGTGTATCCCGCATAACAAGTTAACTTAGAGTGGTTCTCTTTTGCCGGCGGTAGGAACCAGCCGGTCGCGCAAGCGTTTCCACTCTGGATCCCATCTGCTGCCTCCCATCTTGCAGGAGGATGTGAGGTGCACTCGAGTACGGGTATGGGATATGCAGGTGGGGTACCGTATCCAGCGTTCACCTTCACCCAAGTTACCCCTCCATCCAATTGAATATCGCTTCCGCTCTCTTTCTCCCTTGATCCATCCACCCATGCCTCAAGCAGTCCTCCGCACGCTATTTAGCGTTGTTCGTCGGTGTCACAAAGCGATCCTTATCGCCACGCTCCCATTGGCGGGATCAACGTCCTACACCATCGAAACATCAAATACCAAACCTTTGGGCCCTACTTTTTCCATCTCAAGGATGTCCGTTGTGCGCCCTCTTGCCAATTCTGGAATTTTTCGTTACGTTTTTTATTTCGCACCCGCCGGGATCCACCGCGCGGGAGAGGGCGACAAAGCTGTGCTCCAGTGCTCACCGTATCTGACTTACTTTCTCACCCCACACTCTCACCACCGGATACTGTACTCGAGTACGGTGCATCCCACGTTCTCCAGGCAATACCCGTGCCAACATGGGAGCCGTAGGGGTAACCCAATTCAATCCTCTATCTCAGTCTACCCGTACGCCGCGATGCGACTCCACCACCACCATCACCATCACACCTGGAGAAGCGTTTTCCGCTCAGGTTTTCAGGATGCTTCTCCCCCCTCCCCCCCTTCCAAGAGAGAGGCTCCCCACTCTATCGTAGATTAGGGAAAACTTGCACTCGTGCCCTGGCACAGTAGAGAATGTTTGCTCTTGCATACCCGTGACCGTACTCCCCCCTCACCTGCTTGATATCTCATCTGCACATAGCATGCGCAAACAATGCGTCGAGACTGTCCCGGCATCTTCAGCGTTATTTTATGGGAAATCATGCTATCGTATTGAAACGCCGGCCCTCCCTTTCTAGACTAGGCCCGGTCCGGCGGGCTTTGCCATTGAGTTACTGTCGAGCATTACGCCAGAGAAATCCCTCCTTGCCCGCATTGGAATTGTGGTTGTTTCTTCTCCCCCAGTCTCAGTGTTCGCCCCCCCCTCCCCAAAGCATCGCGTTGCGGGGGAAGCACCCTACCTTTCTCCGCCCATCCTTTTTGGTCTCCAGGGCTGTGAGGAGTTGTGCTTTCTGCCTTTAAAGAGAGGCCCTTTCCCCCCTCTGCGAAGGGTAGCTAGACGTCAGGCCTGTAGGTGAAGACCCGCGAAAAGAAAAGAGAAAAAACTGCCGAAGTCTCTGTCTACCCCTTCCACTCCCACGCAGCTCTGCAAACTCCTCCCCCTGCACACTCCACTTCATAACCCCCCCCCCCCAGTTCACACTTCACAGCCTCAGGTCGACTAAACTTCAACATGGTCAACCTTGCTTCCGAACCAGAATTCCAGCAAGCTTATAATGGTGAGGATATTCCTCGTTAGCTTTTGGTTTTCCGTGGGCTTTCTGTGGTAGACTCGTCAATGGCTAACAAACTTTCCCCTTACTAGAGCTCGTTCACTCTCTTGAGGGGTCCAAGCTCTTCAAGACCTCCCCGGATCTTAAGGCTGCTCTGCCCGTCGTCTCCGTTCCAGAGCGTGTTATCCAGTTCCGTGTCACCTGGGAGGATGACCAGGGCAACTTCCAAGTCAACCGTGGATATAGGGTTCAATTCAACTCTGCCCTCGGCCCCTACAAGGGCGGTTTGAGATTCCACCCCTCCGTCAATCTATCTATCCTCAAGTTCTTGGGTTTCGAGCAAATCTTCAAGAATGCCTTGACTGGACGTAAGTTGTTGCCTATCTCCCTCCCTTAAATTTAAAGTTTGTTCCAATTAACTTTATTTTTTCCCCCAGTCAACATGGGTGGCGGTAAGGGAGGGTCTGACTTCGACCCCAAGGGAAAGTCTGACAACGAGATCCGCCGCTTCTGCTACGCTTTCATGCGTGAGCTCTCCAAGCACATTGGTCAATTCACTGATGTTCCGGCCGGTGATATCGGCGTTGGCGGTCGCGAGGTCGGATATCTTTTCGGTGCCTACAAGTCCTACAGGAACCAGTTTGAGGGTGTCTTGACTGGAAAGGGGATTACTTGGGGTGGTTCTTTGATTCGCCCAGAGGCTACCGGCTATGGTCTTGTCTACGTTAGTTTTCTTCCCCCCTCCCCTCTTACTCCCCTTGCCCTTGTCTTGTCGGTGCCCGTGTTGTTGTGACGTATTGATGAGCAAAGCTGATCGTTATCAATAGTATGTTTCTCATATGATTTCGTATAGCTCCGGTGGAAAGGAAACCTTCGCTGGCAAACGTGTCGCTATTTCTGGCTCCGGAAACGTTGCTCAATACGCTGCCCTTAAGGTCCTCGAGCTTGGAGGAAAGGTTATCTCACTCTCCGACTCCAAGGGTGCTTTGATTGCCACTGGGCAGCAGGGTTTCAACGAGACCGACATTGAACTCATTGCCAAGTTGAAGCTTGACAGAAGGTACCTCACAGAGCTCTACACCGCAGAGGATTCCTTCCGGTCCCGCTTCAGGTACCTCCCCGGCGCGAGACCCTGGTCTAACGTGGACAAGATCGATGTCGCCCTTCCATCCGCAACCCAGAACGAAGTTTCTGAGCTGGAGGCTAGAGACTTGATCGCCAGGGGATGCAAGTTTTTGGCTGAGGGTTCCAACATGGGGTCTACACAGGAGGCTATCAACGTTTACGAGGAGGACCGCAGATGCCGCAAGGCTGGTGAGTAGCGTCTACTATTCCCCAAACTCATTTGGATGTGTACTAATTTTCTCTAGATGGTCTTTGGTATGGTCCCGCTAAGGCTGCCAACTGTGGTGGTGTTGCTGTCTCTGGTCTTGAGATGGCTCAGAACTCCCAGCGTGTCTCCTGGACCTCTGAGCAAGTTGACAAGGAGCTTGCTGGGATTATGGAGAGATGCTTCTGGAATTGCTTGAACACTGCTAAGGAGTACTATGACATTGCTGAGGGCGAGCTTCCTTCCCTTGTCGCTGGTGCCAACATTGCTGGTTATGTCAAGGTTGTCAGCGCTATGAAGGCACAGGGAGATTGGTGGTAAAACATTTCCTTAGTTTCATTTTCCTGGGTTTCCATGGTCCAGTCTAGTTTGGCTCGGGTTGATTGGGTATTGGATTTACATATTTTCCCTTTCTTCTTTCTATTCTCCTTGTGCTATATTCCGCTGGCAGATTTTCCGGGTGTTGTTTTACGGTTTTATGATTCGATGAATCTATTTTTCGGAGAATAAATTACCAAGGCTTTTTCTCTTGAATTTCGTGAGATGTGACCAAATGTCTTGTACTCGAGTAGTAGCATGTTGGGTGGGGGCCACCCGCCACATTGTCGACTTTTTAGAGCTGTATGCAGCCAAGCCATTACAAGGATGAGCTTGTACTGTACAAGTATGCACCAAGATTGGTCTAACCGCATGCAGAGAGGGATGAGACAGCATACCCTTAAAGCCGGGGGAAATCCAGCTTTGTAGCCAGCCGGGCGGAAGCCGTGATAGATCTGGGATGGCGAATTCTAGTCTATCTGTTGGTGCGATTGAAGGATCATACAGTGCTACTCGGTTTATTGTACACCTCCAGCGCAGTGCGGCACAGCCAGACTAGCCGTGAAAACCTACCATTCGGGCTTTGGAGGATAGGATGCACAAAGCAGAGAGGGGGGGGGGCCTCGGAACTCTACAAACGTCCTAAGCCCTGCGCGATTCCAGCAAGGCTAATGGGGGTATGATACCTGATCTGGTTCCAAGACACACGTTGTATTGTACGAGTACAGTACTGTAAGAGAAGAGCAAGTCTGGGGGATCGAATTCACGATACCTTGCAGCATGGGTATACCTTGCAGCACGGATAGTGCACGGCATGTACTCGTACAATATATAAACACCTCTTCTTTCACTTCCCTCCCTCCCTCCCTTTCCTCTTCATCATCACCGTTCCCTCTCACACCCACCACAATGCCCCTCCAACTAAAAGAATCCGACATCCCCCCCCTCACCTCCAAAACCGCCCTGGTAACGGGCGCAACCTCGGGCATTGGCCTGCAAACCGCCATCCTCCTCGCGAGCCGGGGCGCAACCGTGCACATCGCCTCACGTGACGCCGCAAAGGGTCAAGAGACCGTGAGGTCGCTGCGCGCACAGTACCCATCGCACACGTACCGCCACCACCCCCTCGACCTCTCCAGCATCGCCAGCGCCGCCAAGTCCGCGGCGCTCTTCGCCCGCGAGAACACGCGCCTGGACATCCTGGTGGCGAACGCCGGCGTGGCCTTCCTCGCCGTGGACGAGCTATCGGTGGACGGTCTGGACAGGGTGTTCGCCGTGAACCACGTCGGACACTTCGTCTTCGTGTCCGGCCTCCTACCCCTCCTCCGCCGGACGGCCGAGGAGAGCGGGGACGTGCGCGTCGTCGTGACGAGCTCCGACGCCTACAAGTTCGTCGACCGGGTCGATCTGTCCGACGTTGCGCGTCTAATTCCTGGCGACGGGAGGAGCGTGCGCCACATGGCCGGCGCCGGGAGGAGGTATGCGAGGAGTAAGCGGGCCAACATACTCTTCGCCATGGAGTTGGATAGGCGCCTGCACGCTCCGGACCAGGCGGGGCGTGCCGGTGCTGTCGGTGTTAGGGTTAATGTGTGCCACCCTGGGGTAATTGGCGGAACGGGCTTGGGGGCTAGTGTACTTCCTTCCCTTCCTTCCTTCCTTCCTTCCTATATATCTATTGCATCATATCATACCTTCTTGTTATATATATATATATATATATACTTACGTGCCCTGATGGGTGTTGGTTGATAGGGCTTCGGCATACCGGTCTGGACGTCAAGACTCATACGTAGACTCATCAGCGTCGTCAGCTTTACCTCGCGCGAGGGTGCCATGACGCAGACGTTGCTAGCCGCTGCCGAGAGGATCCGTGAGGAGGATGTGCACGGGTGCTTCTTCATCCCCAGGACTGGGTGGAATATGCGTTATACGCACTCCGAACAGGTCGACTTGGGCGAGTGGGCACGGAGTGAGGAGGATGCCAAGGCTTTGTGGGAGTGGACCGAGGGATTGGTTGATAAGGTACTTGGGAAGGGGAATTGGGGGGGCGAGTGATGGGTGGTGCCTTCATAGGGTTGGGTGAGTGTGACGTTGTACAAGTATAATAATATGATGCATACCTTTTTTTTTCTTTTTTTCTTTTTAGTTTCTCCTGTGGGGTACTAGTATGTGTGGGGTACTAGTATGGCGGTTTATCGCTTCGAATGACTTCCTCCCACCCCCCTCTTTTATTGTTTCTCATCATCGTATATATATATACATGATAGGAAACCTTCTATACCCATACATTCTGCACCACGATAAATGCCTAAAACTCCCAGAGCGAAAGTAAAGGATTCAGTGCAACCCCAGACAAATTCCCATTCCCTTCTTCCCTCTCACCCTCGGGGAAGATCCTCTTGGGAACCTCAAACTCTACAACCGGCGGTCGCTCAGAACTCACATCCTTCTTCATCTCCGCCGCGAACATCTACTCAATATTAGCCCCAACCGACCCCTCACACTGAGAGGAAGATAGGAGGGAACACTCACGCTCCCATAGGAATGGTCCAAAAAGTCCTCAAGCCCGTAGCCAGCCTTGGTAAACTGCTCTCCCAAAATCCTAGCTAGGGTGGCAACATTCGGCTGCCAGTGCCCCCTGAGCATCTCCAACTCCCAGAGGCAGCTATCAATTGCAGCAGTCTCCAGTGGATCCTCTTCCTCCGCGTCGAAAGGATCTACCACGCCCTCCTTCCTCCACCTATCTAGCTCCTCCGCAGTGTCCTCACGATGCAGCATGAACCAACACGCCGAATGCGCCTTTAAAAGGTTATACACGAACGGGACAATCACCACTACCGCTGCTGGCGGCGCGCTAAGTGCTAATCTTGCCAGACGTTTGATGAAGCTGGCGATTAAAGCTGCGGGTAAGTACTTGCTGCTCAGGAACTCCTCGAGTAACCGGAAGAAGCGGGAACGGTACTTTAGGTGCAGCAGGTTCCGGTCTAGCAGCGCATACAAGTTTTGGTAGAAGTTTGGGTAGTCCAAGTTTTTGGTCTTTATCAGGTAGAAGAGGCCCGATAGGGCCAGGAGGGCGGTTGGACCACCGGTGGAGTAGGTGTCTGTGAGAAAGTCCATGAGGGTTTCCGGGTTAGGGAAGGCGGAGGCTAGGGTTGTTATATTGTGGAGGATGGAGGGGATGTAGGGGGTTATCGTCGGGAGACGGAGGAGGTGGAGGAAGGTTGTTTGGAGAAGTTTGCGGTGGGCGGTAAGGGTTAAGATTGCTCGGGGGTTCGTGGAGGTGGTGGAGGAGGAGGCAGGGGCCAAGGCGAAGAAGGAAGTAAACGGCGGGGTGGTGGAGGTTGGGAGGTTGTGCAGGGAGAGGATTAGGGTTATTGTTGTTTTTGTGAATTGTGGAAGGGTGGGAGGGGTTTTGAGGGCTGTTTGGGTGAGTGCTCTATGTAATTCATGTTAGAACCGTAGTAATGTATGAAGGAGAAGGAGAAGATATACTTGATGGCCGCAAAAAATGAATACCGAACGTCATCATACGCATCCAAGTACTCTTCCGTAAATTGGATCCGGACATAGTCCTCCAGATTCTCAGCATACACCAGCGCCTCCACGATCTTCTGGAACAGGTTGTGCGCGAAGTACGCCTCACCCCCGGGGGGTGTCAAGTGCTCAGACTCGGCCTTCACCAATCTCATGAGTAGCCAGAGAACCTCCTCCTATATCCTGTTAATGGCCAGTTGCCAGATATCGCGGAGCACCAACAGGGGCGAGAGTGGAGCTAACCTGTACACCCCCATCTTTATAATCTACTAACCCGCAAAGTTCCCCAACAAATACCTTATACTGACCCCTCAACCACCCCAAAATCTGAACCTCGGCATCGGTAGCGCCCTTCTTCTTACTCAATTCCCCTTTCGCCATGAGTTTGATGAAAGCTCGGCATAGCGACGTCGCGGCAGCGCTGATAGTCGCCTTCTCCGGACTCTGTTACCACGCAACACATTCCATTAGCCACTCCACTCCTTCCTCCCTTCGCCCATCCGTTCCCCTCCGGGAGCGAACAAACCTTCAAATATTCCAACAACTTCACAACGTGATTATACCCCCTCGGCGATGCAACAATCTCCTTTTCCAGGCCCTCAATTTCTTCCGCTGCTTGTTTGCTCTGTAACTCGGACGTTTTCTCGACCAGTTCCGTCCGCTTCTTTTTCAGGACAGCCACCTTTTTGGAGCGTTCCCTGCGGTCGGTGGACAGTTTTCCTGCAATCTCAGCTCTTGGTTTCGAAGGTTTGGGCGCCATTGCCCATTTCTCACACGGGATCGTAGTTGTGGTGATTTCGGCAGTAGTGGCGGCGAGGAGGTAATATGGCGAAGCTTATCAGCGGGTTCTTGCTCAGCACGGAGTGAGAAAATTTCTGAGTTGCTATATCACATGACCACCCGCACCTCTTGAGCCTCAATTAGGGCCTTGGCACTCGGCTCGCTGGTATGATATGTACTCGTACAGTACTGTAGTCTACTCGTATGAGATACGGGAGACCGTGTGAGCTCTCACGGCTTGGCTCTCCCGTTGGCCATAAGTAGCCTTTGCTGCCAAATATCGCCGGGCCTCACGCGGTCTACTCGTGGTGCTAGCATGATATCATACACAAGAATACCATAACCACAAGCCCAACCCACGCCAGATACCGTATCTCCCATCCCCCACTCTCGCAAGTTCTCACCCCCCCGAAGAATCCGAATATTTGCTTCTTGAATAACAGAAACGGGTCCTTGGACCAAGCGGCTCTGGTGTTGACAAGTCCACTATCCTCCAATCCTGTTTCAACCCATTATTGAAACAATCGACTTTGCATATGATGCTGCCGCATACCAGAGGGTTTTCCTACCCTTCCTTTTAGCCACTGGACCTTCCCCCATTCCCGTAGCCTGGCGCCCCAGAAAATGTGATTCACTAAAGAACCGAACCAAGGTATCATCATCTTTCGCAACCTGTTGAGTTTCGTTAAAAGCTTTACCCAGTACAAGTGTGTTGGTTGCGGTAGAAATTCTAATGATTCATCTGGCTTCCAGTGACAGCCTACCAAGAATATGGCCGGTCAATAAGCTTAACTTACAGTGTCATACCGGTGTCTAAAAAAAGATCCAAAGGTCCTGCAGGGCTTGGGGTGGTAATCTACGGTAAGTTAGTCTCCATCTTTTGACGATCATGATACGCAAGTGTCGACTCTCAACAGGGGAGGCCGGTGAACTACCCCCCAATGAATCACTCGAACTCGATCAACCCTCGTCTGACCGTTCTTCCCCCAGGAGCTTGAGGTATGATTAGGATGTTGCTGCCGTTGTTCTACCAGTACCCTTCCTCCTTTTACCACCTCCCCACAACACAACTTACGTAATATGGCGATGTATTTTTTCGATCCTTCACTCGTGCCGTGCCGGGCACATTGGCACCAACTGTCACGCGCAAAACCGCGTGAATTCAACACGATAACGTTCACGGTTTTTTTTTTTTTGGCGCGGCAGCGTGGATATGTTTGGGGCATTCAAATTTTAAACCCACTGGGTATCGTATGCGGCGAATTGTTGATGCGGTCACGGGACTAGGATTCTCTCTGCTCATTCATGGTCACTCGGAGAGTTTAAGGATTGCATATGATAATATAGAAGGTGTTTTCTTGTGATTTATTATTGTTTTCACTCCTCCTTTGATTGGATGCGGTACGGTACTTATACCGGGGGAGATATCAACACAGTACCGGTACTCGAGTATCGGTAGTGGGTTGTTATGTCTGAGATTTTTGTTCGATTAGGGGGCTACTGTACCGGTATCGTATTTACCCGTGATAGGGGGGAGCATTTGGCGGAGAGCGTGATATGATGGCGCTGCTGCTGCTGTTGCGATGCGTCTGGGCGCTCCAAGGGTGACGTCCAGAGTGAGCTCTAAAGGTGACTTTTTTGTTGGTGTGGATACCAGTGCCGGGTGCCCAGTTATAGGAATGGGAATTAGTACCGTATGATACAAGTACTTGTACCATAAGTGAACACTAGGACATCACGCATGGTCTGCGGGTGTTTGAGTACGGTATTTGACAACGCTTTTATGTGAAGCTCTCCGAGTCCCACCAGAGATTCTCACCCATGCTCACTGCTCTAAGCGCAGCTGTTGGTGGAAGCGGAGCGGAGGAAAGGCCAGCATCGATCTCTCAGCGCTACTTGTACCGTACTCGTAGTGTAACAGTTGTGTATGGGGTGACCGTACTCACTGATTCCTGGACAGAGTGTCCGGAGATTACTCAAATTTGGGCGCAGGACACCGGGTCTTGGCATTATTATCATGCAAGCACGTCTGCTTACGATATGATACTTGGCCGATTGACGAGTAGGGGTACTTTAGCCTCCGTATTCGGCAGCTTTCATGCCGTTTTTGGCATCGAAGGGAGCAGGTTATCGTGCTACGGGTAATTTAGCTGTACCGTACATACTCGTACGCTGTGTGCAGGATCCGGAGGTTGAGAGTGTGGTTGTGTTGATGATTCAGTCGGCCCATTCCACAGCTACTGTACTCGTACAGTACTAGTAAATGCCGACACGCAGTGCACAGTGTTCGACGACAGAGCGAAGCGATCCGTAGGATGCCTGGGGGATGATCGAATCCCCAAGAGTGATCTCACCGTTTTACTGTAAGTAATCGTAATTTACACAAGCCCACGACGGGGACTCCTTTTTTCCTTTTTTCCCTTCTTTCCTTTCCCCGTTCGGCAACGCCCTGTTCCCACCTCTCTCGACCCCCCCCCTCCTCATCAACTGCTTTCCACTTGACCAACGAGGAAGGGAGAATTCGTGCGAGGACGACGTTTGGATTTCGTCTTGTCACCCATCTATTCTTCCATCTCGTTCCCTTTTTTCTATTTCTCTACGGTCCTTCGCTCTTGCCCGTTGGTGTTTTTCTTTTCTTTTCTTCTCTTATCGCCATCTGTGCTTGAAGCTTCCTCATCCTCCGCAACAATATGATGCCGAAAGGGATGACGGTGAAGACTGTGCGGGGCAAATTGCCGCCTCCGCGGGCTCTTGCACAGATATTCCTGCGGACCCGCTTTCTACTCGCGATATTCATGGTCGGGCTCGTCATCATGCTCTGGCGGAGCCTCAGCGGGCCTGCTGCGAACTTGCAAAAGTAGTGTTCCCCCATTCGGTGCGGCTATTAGCGATTAAGGGGCTGGATCCGGGGTGAATTGGGAGGAATCGATGCGGGATTGAGCGTTGGATTTTTTTCCACACGGCTTCATCTGCAAAGGGCTATCGCGGTCAAAGTTTGTGCTGACGAATGGCTCCCTTAGGTTTTACTGCTTTGGCCCGGCCAAGTCGCCATTGGAGATTTCTGCCAATGAACATAATAGCTGGCACGCTCACCAGCGTACGCCAATATTGTTCAACCACCACGAACCCTTGGTAGTGGATACCCAAACCATTCAGAACGACGACTTGAACTCGATCAAATCCACCCCCGAAGCCTGGAAGAACAAGGAGCGGGTCTTGATCCTCACGCCGCTTCGCGATGCATCTTATTACCTGGCCAAGTACTTTGACCTTGTCTCACAGCTGACCTATCCCCATGACTTGATCGACCTAGCATTCCTCATCAGTGATACCAAAGATGATACCAAGGCTGCCTTGGTCCAGGAGCTGCAGAGGATTCAGAAGGGTGTCAAGCCATTCCGAAGCGTCAAGATTGTTGAGAAGGATTTCGGATTGAGTGAGAGCCAGGATGTTGAGGTTAGGCACTCGTTTGCCTTTCAAGGCCCCCGGAGAAAGGCTATGGGCCGCGCGAGAAACTATCTTTTATACAGTGCTTTGAAAGCCGATCATTCTTGGGTCTATTGGAGGGACGTGGATATTGTTGACAGCCCAGAACGCATTTTGGAAGACTTCATGTCCCACAACAGGGACGTTATCGTTCCGAGTAGGATCCACCCGTTCCCGGTGCCATTCAGGGAGATGTGTCGCTGACTTTTGATAGACATTTGGTTCCACAGGTATCGCGATGGTCACGATATTGAGGGTCGCTGCAAGTGGCCCTTTCATCCCCCATTTTTTAAACTTTCCCGTGAGAGACACCGGAGCTAACCAAGACATTGGCTGTAGTTGACTACAACTCGTGGCAAGAATCCGAGAAAGGCCTAGCTCTTGCTGCCAAACTTCCCAAGGATACCGTCTTGGCTGAAGGTATACTGAGATCACGAACTTATTCCCCGGGTGCCTGGTCTGATAAAAATGTTTTCATAGGGTACAAGGAGTACGACACCGGGCGGAACTGTATGGCCAGGATGGGCGATTGGAGACTGGATAAGGACGAGGAAATAGAACTTGACGGGATCGGAGGTGTCAGCATCCTTGTGAAGGCTGACGTTCATCGTTCAGGTTAATAGTCACACCTTCACGCCCGGTGAATGGACCGCCGGCTGATGACTGATAGGAATCAACTTTCCCGCTTATGCCTTCGAGAACCAAGCTGAGACTGAGGGCTTCGCCAAGATGGCCAAGCGCGCCGGTTACGAAGTCATTGGGTTGCCAAACTACGTTGTATGGCACATCGACACGGAAGAGAAACCTGGCAATGCCTAAACCTAGCAATATTCTACCCCCTAACATAATCAAGAATATAGAGACCCAGAGTTATGACGGAGACGATATAGGGGGAACCGATGAGAGAAGGGAAACAACAAGGCAAAAATTTACTATTCACGGATTAGGTGGTGGGAATGGGGACTAATTGGGATTTTAATTGGAGTACTGGGATTTTTATTTTTTATTTTTGTATTTTCTTTTCTTTTCGTTCGCTTCCTCGGGCCTGGCTTGGTTTGGGTGGGGAAGCGGTGGATGGATGTATGGGCGGGTGGGATTAGCGGTGATGGGGAGGAAGGAAGAGAAAGACTTGTCGGCCCATGTGCGCTTTGCCACCCATCCCCTGTTACTTCGGTTTGTTTTAATTGGGGGTTTGTGTCGGTTGTGGATTAGATTTGCTATCATACTATTACTGTATCGAGAGTGAGGTTTGCAGTTTTTCTTTTTTTTTTTCTTTTTTACTTCTACCCTTTTTTTATATTTATATATTCTGGCGGCCGGTTAGTTGGTTGGCGGTGTGGTGATTTTTGAGAGTGATCTTTCGTGTCGAATCGCTGCTATATGCCTGCCATTATTTTATACCTTGCCTTCTGCTTGACCGCTTACTTTGAGCTGGGGTGAGTGAGTGAGGTCTTCCATTTCGTTGTCTATTGTCTATCCATCGCTTGCTGCCGCTGCTGCCGTGACGTACCTATCTTCTTTGTTTTGTTTGTATTTATTCAACTCGGTATTTTATTACCACAATGTACTGAGTGACCGTAGTTTACGATACTTGTACTAGAGAAGGAAGACGAAATTGTATGTAAGAAGAAGGAGAGAAGAAGGAGGAAGAGAGAGAGAGAGAAAAAAAGGAGAAAGAAAATGCCAAATCAACATTATTCCCCAAGTACATAGTCACAATGACTCACTCGCACCTATACTGCAGGCTGGCTAATGTAGTACATCAATCAAATTCGCGATTCTCAAACTTATCCTTATCAAAGAACCTAGCTTCAATGGTGTTCCCATTAAATAGTCTTCCTTCAAGGGCGTTGACTGCCTGTTTGCACACACATACACCGACAAATTAGCCACCACTTCGGCCTCCCTTCAAACCGGAGCAAAACGGAGTGGGAGAGGAAGGGGAGGATAAACAAACCCTGAGAGCCGCCAATTCCCCCGAAAACTTGACGAATACCCTACTCGCCCCCTTTCCGTCTGCGTTATCCCCGGCGCCTTCCCCTTCATCCCTCCCCCAAACGACGAGAACGCGCTCAACACCGCCATACGAGTTCTCGCACTCCTCACCAATCTCCTGCACGAGCACGGCTTCGTCCTCGCCCTCCAGGCCGTCCACCATGTGCCTCAACACCACCACGACGCTCGCGGGACCGAATTTGCCGACGGCGGCGGCGGGATTAGGCTTGTTCTTGTCTATGATTTTGCCGCGGGTGGGGTGGTCTTTGGACTTTGTGTGCACGGCGCGGAGGGGTTGGGTTATGCCTGTGCTCGAGGCGCCGAGGCCTGTACCGGCCCGCCAGCCTAATTTTGACATCAGGCGCGTGGCGAAGTCCTTCTGGCCGGGGAGGAGGGGATTTGATGGTGGGGAGGGGGGGGACTGGTCAGTGGATTCGTCGGTCGGGGCGTCCATGGGGGGTTGCGAGGTTGTGTAGAGGACTGGAGCGCGGGAGATTGTTGGTTGAGGGGTGGGGCCTGCCGCTGGTGGGGGAGGGGGAGGAGAAGGTGGAGGAGGAGGAGGTGGTTCCGATACGGTGGTGGTGGTAGTAGTTGAGGAGTAACCGGCGGAGCCCAACTGGCTCATGCGGAGACGACGGGCATATGCGTCTTCCCCAGAGACATCGTCGGGGACTATTACCGGAGGTCCAGTGGCAGCAGCAGGCGGTGGAGGAGATGGGGGAGCGTCCGCACCCCCCGATAACTGCGGCGGTGGAGCAAACGAGTACTTTGCTGGAGGCGCAAACCTATTCCCCGGACCCTGTCTATCCCTCTCCCTCCCCCGCTGCTCATCCTCCACACTATCGTAACTATCCATCCGTCTCCTGGGCAGCACCCTATCCCTCCAATCTTCCAGTTCCCGGATCTTCTCGTCACTGTCCTTGTACTCATCGTAGCTGTTCGGCCGGCTGGGATCGTACACGTCATCCCAGTTAGTAGGTGGAGGCGGTGTATCGCGATTCTTCTTCCGCTTCTTACGTCCTGCGCGGCGCTGATCTCGGTTGCCGGCGTAGAAGCCGTTGACATCGTCATCTGCGTCACCGGTCCAGTCTTCTATAGTAGTTTTGACGATTGGTCTAGCCACTCCTCCTGCTGCTGTATCTGCACCAGTATCCGCCGTACTAGTCGTCACCCCCGCCGCCGCCGCTGTCGTAGTGGCACTGACGGCTGGCTTCCGTACATTCTTCCCCTTTCCCTTCACATTTGCGCCGGTCGGTCGTTTGAGCGTCGGCTGAAAACGTAGAGCAGCTTTTTTTCGCCAGAAAAAAATAATTCACACACTCCGCGTGAGTAAGGCTTGACTCTGTAAAACGCAAAAGGGGGAGGAGGGGGAGCTTCTCGCGAAATACCGGCATTGAGCTTTTTCGGTGCAGGGTCTTCTGCTGGAGTGGAGGTTAAGGAGGAGGCGGCAGTAGGTTGTTTGAAGACTATTGGTGCGCGGGAGATAGATGCTGGGGTTGTCGTGTTGTTTGATCGGTCCAGGAGGTTGGCATAGAGGCCGGACATGCCGGTTCGAGGTGGCGGGGGGTCCGACATTGTGCTGCTTTTCGAGGAGAGAGAAAATAGAGGAGGAGTAGGGGTGAAGGGAACTGAAGGTGTACGAGTAGGTGACTGTGAAAGTCGGCAGCGGGGTGAGAGATTGTGTGTATGATGCTATGGATGGAATGAACAATTTGGCCCGAAGCTCGTATATACAGCAAGAAAGTTCACGGTCCGTTTGTCGGTTACCCTACCTGACCCGGGGCGGAGCGCTCGCTTTGTCACCTACGAATACAATTACCTTAATTATGATAATCATAATATTATCCTGAGCCGTCGATAAGCAAATACCGCAGTAACTCAGCACCCGGCACCTGATCCGAGAAGTTCGGTCAAGGTCGGTCTCAACTGTTGAGGAAGCCCTCTCCCCCCATCCAGATACCGGTACAGGTAGTCTATCCAGGAAATGTTTAAATTCCCTCTCCCCCGCACCACCATTTCCTCACCCAAACCCTTCGTCAGACTCCCTACTGCTACTACTACCGCTACAAATTCCATACAAGGACTTCATAGTATCCTGAATAGCTACAAGTACGTTGCGGCAATGTCCACCTTACCGCAAAAGTCGGAATGGCTCTGCATCTTGCCGGACCAGGCTGATGGTGGCCTGGAGAGGAGACTTAAGGTTCGCGCGTGAGTAATTCATCTGAACGAAAGGAGGAGTTCTACTTTTTCTGAGAGGTATTATTAGGGAACACCTCGAGGGCATCAAAAGGAACCAAGAAGCCGGATTCGCCAACTTTGGCGGTTTGTTTCTTCATCAAATTACTTGTGGGATATACATGAATGAGTGAAGCTACTGATCTGTCCTAACAGGAGTATTCCTCAATGAACCCGCAAAAGAAGGGGAGACCCCCTCCTTCAAGGGATCCATCATCGTTGCTACGGGCGTGAGTAAAGAGGATGTTCTCGAGGTGTTGAAGCAAGACGTTTATTCCAAGAATGATGTGTGGGATTGGGAAAAGGTCGTCCTTCTTCTTTCCCCCTACCTCCAAATAGCATGGGCTAACACTACTACATCCCAGTAGGCCGAGATCTATCCCGTATGTAACCGTTTGCGCTTCCAGTCGGTGGACTCCATTGCTAATGGTCAATATAGTTCAAAACTGGAATTGCATCCCCACTTCCGTATGTTTAGGTTGGACGGCGACGGATGGAGATGACTCGTCGTGAAGATTGCTATTTTAATAGACGTTTAAATACCCCCTCCGTCCCACAATTTCATGTAACCACACCTCCCCTAAAATTTGTAGTGAATGCACTGGTACGATATCGGGATAGTGATAAATGCAAGAGAGTAAGATACCGTATCTAGTTGGGCGAGGACGGGGGAGAATCTGAGGGAATTAAGTTCTTGAAGTATGGGTGCTCTGATTGAGCCTTAGGGAAACATGTCTTGCTTTGGGGGCTGCGGGGTTGGAGATTAGGTATTCGTAGTATGACGTATGATGCCATACCATACAGTGTATGATAGCTCGCGTTAATGCTGCATCGTACGAGTACGGTAGTGTGCCGGAATACTGCATTAAGTTATGGTATTGTACGAGTACTGTACTTGGTTATTCCATGGAGTGATGAGACATGCAGGTTCCCCACCTTCCACGCCCGGGTGTGGCCCTGCAACCTTGCCTCACAAAAATCGCGAAATATCAATTCTCTGTAGAAATGTCTCTTAGCCACGGCATAGGATTACCGTATACGGAAGGCGGGGAATCTGCATGTCCCATCAACCCACGGGATACCTAAGTAATGCGGTAGAATTGACTCAATTGAGTGCTAGGGTGCTGGTGCAATACTCCGGTTAAAGTAGGTAAGCTGTGCGGTACGGGTGGTGGTACTGTAGAGTGGTTTGGCCCCGCGCATCGGCACCGTTTCTCTCGGATAGCACTACATATCGACTCTTCTCCCCCTCCCGTTCGAAGCTTTGAACCCCAAGCCCAGAAATCACACCTGCTTCGTGGTAGCCACGTTTCAGCAATCTCAACCATTACCGCACCAACAGATCTCACCACAAGCTATGGCTCTCTCAGAATTGTCCTCCCTCCCTCCCTCCTCCTCCTCCAATATTCACCCACCTAGTGCATTCCCAGGGCTAACAAATCCCAAACAGCTTCATCATGCTCCCCGATCTCCCCACCGCGAAGCGCTCCGAGGTCCGGCCCCGCCACCTCGCCTATGTTTCGGAAAAGATAGCCAAGGGTGAATTTTATCGCCAGGGAGGCGCATATTGTTCGTCGGAGGTCTCGGGCGAGCAGGTGGAGGACATACCATATTCCGGAAGCACTATGACAGTGGTTGCAGAGGACGAAGAGGACGTTAAAAGGCAGCTAGCTGATGACCCGTATGTTAAGGAGGGGGTATGGGACGTGGAGAAGGCGAGGATTTTCCAGTAAGTCTTGATCCCGCGGAAGGAGGAGAAAAGGAAGAGACTGACGGGTATTGCAGCTTCAAGACGGGGGATTCGGTGCCAATCAATTACCCGCTTCAGCAGTAGGGGTGGATGCGGGGAGGTGTACGTTTTTGTCGAATTTGACTGTCATGGATTATCACTCGCGAATATTGATGACGGTAAACGAGCGTGAAATTGTAGACTTTGTTATAGTAGCCACAGCCCAAAAGTTCGGGGACGCGGAACCCAGTGGCGCCCGAAATATGTACGAATAATGCATCTCATCTAGTTTTCTCCTTGGTTATGCAGAATACACTCGGTCCATTGGTAACCCCAATACCTAGCATCCTGACTATCAGCGTGCATATGAAGGAACAACCTCTCGTCCATAACACTAAGACTCCCCGCTGGCCGTCAGTCGCTTAAGTCGCCATGTCTTCACATCGGGGTATCCCACTGGCGTGACAGCAATGTTCGTGCTACCTCCTATTTTCAAAGTGTTAACATCCAGTAACAAAAATTGCGCCACCTCGGAGGATTAGTCTAAACCACGGGCCGCGCAGACACTCCTCTCACTCGGACACCTAACTAAACTTGGGCGGGAAAAAACTTCTCACGGCGGACTCGATTGTAGCCATCAGTCGCTGATTTCCTCGTAGAAACTCGGCCAACCAGCATCGCCCGAGTGTGTGAGTGACGAGTCCGAGCACTATCAGTTGATGATGGCTTCGCCTATTCATATTGTACGCGGTGAACCCAAGCGCCTGGCCTAACTGGTAGGATGGGCGGTAGTGCTCGGCCCTTCCCAAAGTCTCCGAAAAGTGGGTATAACGCATCTGTGGGCCCATATTGCCGTAGCTCTTGTAGGGCACTGTTAGGGGATTGGGGGACACTCATGAGAGATGACGACGATGGTCGTCGTGCAACTTTTGTTTGCTATTTTGAAGTTTCTGCCCCCTTCTATGAATGACGAAGATAGAAGAGTGGCTGGCGAGGGCCTGCGAGGAGAAAAGTGTAAGAGAGGGAATATGGGAGACAGGAGACAAGCATCACCAGAATTTTCCTTTCTCTTGTTTCTTTCGTCCTTCTTTCCTACAGAGCCGTCTATTTCGCAGATGAACAGTTGAGGTTAGATATTCACCGTGGAACGAGGTTGCATCGCCTCCTATTCGCCTTCCCTACTGTCTTCAACGTTGCCGTTGCCAGTTAAGTGCATTGCTGCCTCTTCTTCAGATTTACCTTTTGCTATCACCCATCAAAGAATGCCAAGGATCAGGGAAGACCTGACAGTACAGTGCCCATGAAGCCATAAATTGTGCCATCACTGGATCACCTTTTTTTGCCCCCACCCTCGGGACGGGCCTGCTGGCCCTACAGTGGTCACAGATAGCCGGATCTGTGATACGGGTGACGGATGGGGATTGCAACGCTCTACACATTATCCTGCTAGATTATCGTTAGATAAATGGCCGTCAGGACCTTCTGTCAGCCTTCGGCGGCAGTATCATGTGATGCTTACAGACGACGTGCGCTCTTGCCCTACTGCTTGGGACACCATGTCCGCGACGCTTGGGATCACATATTGTAGGGATATAAGATCACTAGGTGCCCGGGCACCCACATGCCATAGCAAGTGGGAGAAGCCCAGGAAACGAGATGTACAGGGTATGTGCCTACATACCTCAATCTAATTTTCAAACACTAGGACTCGGTGATAAAGGGACTATTGGATAGGGTGCAGGTTATGACAAAAGCAAGAGGGGGTATGATACTCTGTGAATGAAGTGGTAGATTGCCTTTAAACCCAACGTATATAGAGACCCTAGAGCGGCGGGAAGAGTGGGGGAATAAGTGAAGCAAATATATATGATACGAGTGACGAGGAAGGCATCAGGAACATGTTTCCCCCTAGGGTAGTCCTTTCCACCAAGAGCAGGAGAAATACACTACTAGCATCATACACGCAAGCGTCCTATATCCAAAACAATAAGCAGACATTGACCCGACGACACAACACCACCTTCCCAAACCGTACGCAACACAACCACACCGAACAGACGAAGGAACTATACAAAGGTACACAGCCAAGAAAATTGGTAGGTTCTCCCATTTCCAAACACCACGGAACTCCTCCATTTTCACCTGCACCTCCTCAAACATCCAGACCACACCGGCCTTCAGCACCGCACACGCAGTGATGAGTGATTGAACCATTTGAGGATCAAGGGGTCGTATCATAGCCCGGTTCCAAAGGCAACCCCTTCCCACCCCCGCCTAACCCCTAGAAAAACCCGAGTGGGGTGAGCATTGAGTGTGTAAACTTCAAGTTGCTTCAGGAGCGGTGGTGAAAAGTGGTAAACCCGTGACCCGAATCTATGACATCGTGTAAATGCCAGCCCTAGATTGTCTATCGTATCATATCGTGCCCACCTCCCACTTACATACCACCACGCAGGGTCACTCCGAGTAAACCCCCCCGAGGATGTAACAGAAGCCGGAGGAGGGCGAAACGGACCTGCCAGCGACACTTATGATAATAATATTATCGTAATATGCCAGGTAGTGTGCAACATGGTACAAGTGAACCGCGATACATGTGAGCCCTATCCAAGACCGCGCACCGTGGGATTTTCGAAAAGGTAAGGAAAAGGGGAAGGGAAGCGAAAACCACAGAATTCAGCTAAAAGTAGCATATCATAACGAATCCAACGTGTTGCTGTCGGGAGGAACCGCCGCTCTTCCGTGCTTTCTCCACCTGTCGCCGGATATCGACTGAGGCTTCCCAACTTCCTCTCCTTCTGTTGAGTTTTGCCCGAATCATTACCACGTCTAGCCCGTCTCCTAGTCCAACTCGTTGACGGGAGGTCGGGTACTTCGAGTGAGGACCTATGATGCTTGGCATGGAGGATCACTCGCAATGGTTTTTGGGGATAGAAATGCCATCCGGGGATTGGGCACTCCCTTTATTTTATTTTATTTTCCCCCTCAAAGGATAATGTTACATGAGTGATGCTCGTGGTCGGGAAGACTAGGGGGAAAGGAGTTTCGGAGTTCACGGAAAGGATGGCCTGGTAACTTTGAATCCGGATGAAAGACAGACAAACAGACAGGGAAACGCCAGGCCCATGAGAAACGGTCCCTCCAAGAAGGGGATCGGAGTGGGGTGGGGGAAAAGGTTTTCATAATACGTTAAGCGTGGAGGCAAAACAGTAAATCAAGTTGGTAGAGAAAATTAGAAAACACCGATAACAGGAGCCTAACTAGTCAATGCGACCATCATCTTCCCATAGTCCCCACTGGTCTCCCCCTTGACTCGCTTCGTGAGGTCCCTCTTGTACAAAGCGGCGTACTTCAACTTAAGCATGGGGAAATAGCCTTTGTCCCAATGAGCCCTGACAAGCCTCGATATTAGCAAATCATCCTTGGTCCCGATACCGGCCATGCTGTCCTCCAACAGCTCCGCATCCCTCTCAGTCTTATTCAAAGCGCCCTTGACAATGTACAGCAGCGCGGCCTCCATGTGCCCCGAGAATTCCTTCCGTATCATCTTGACAAAGTCCTGGGCGTACTGCCGCTTATAGCTGTCGGCGTATGCGCAAATGTAGGCGTTGTTAGCCCTCGTGAGGATGGAGCAGACCTGGATCTCGTCGGTGCCCATGCGGCCCTGGGTCGCGGCGTACAGCGTTCTGACATCATTCGAGACGATCTGCGGATCAACCGCGACCCAGTCTTCCATCCTGTTGCCGGTGAGCGCCATGACGAACAGCTGCTCCGTCTTGCCCGAGAGGTCGCCGCGTACAGCGCTCTCAAGGGGCTCGCGGTACCTTTTTTGGTAGACCGACTTCAGCATCGCGATCTGCTGGTTGCTCTTCCCCATGATTGCCTCGGTCAGCATGCTTTCCTTCGTGCCGAGCCCCGCGATGGCCCGGTGCGCAAAGTAGGCTTCTGACTCGATGGGTCCGAGGGCTGTAGATACAAGCGCTGTTTCAAAATTGCCGGAAGTCTCTTTCTCCAGGGTATCTATGAGGTCACGGCGGATTCGAGTGGTGTACTGCGCACGGATGGCATCAATCGTCGGGCCGTCGCGATGGCCCAGGATACTGATCAACGCACGCCCGTCAGTCCCGAAGCCTTTGCAGGCACGGTGGATGGCGTCGACGTCGGCGGTTGCATCAATCGGCACGACGTGCTGCTGGGGTGGGGGGCCATGGTGGGGTGGTGGGGCGCCATATGGCATCCCCGGTTGGGGGTGGTGCGGAGGGTGTTGGTATACGTTTTGGGGGGGGTATTGGGGATTGTGAGCTACTGGAGGGGGATATTGTCCCTGTGGGGCAAACTGTGGCTGGTTATAGGATGGGTGCGGGGGGTAGCCCTGTTGCGGGGGAGGGGGGGTTTGGTAGTAGTGCTGCGCTTGCCCTGGTGGGGGATAACCTTGCGGCTGTTGATAGGGTGGTTGGCCAGCGTATGGGGAGGGAGCTCCGGGCGGGGGGTAGCCTTGTGGGTTCGGTGGGTATGGCTGTCCGGGTCCCGGGGGAGCATAATAATTTTGCTGCGGGGCCCCGGTGGGTGCGCCATAGTTGTGGTTTGGGTTCTGTGGATAGGACATGGTGGACAGGTGAAGACTCCGGCTCAAAAACCCAAGCACGGAGCGGGGGGCGGTTCGGGAGCGGAGAGAGGTGGGGTGATTGCGGGGAATATATGTGCGGGCCTTCAGCCGCTCACAAGGTGATTGTCAACCCAGGCGGAGGGAAAAAAGAAAAAGAGATTAGAGACCCACCTCGACTTTGGTCAACGTCCAAGGGTAAAGCGGAAACCGGTAAGCAGTATTATTTGTAGTATGGATCAGGATGGTGGTGTATGCGATAGTGGGTTCTGTTCACGGAGGTGGAATGAATAGTTCCTTTATTCGAGATGTTCGCGCCTTATCGTTGGGGCCGAGGAAAAGCTGCGGCTGCGAAGAAATGAAAACTATGACGCATCCGAAAGCTTGGCACGTGGCTGTGCCGGTATGATGGTGTTCTTATGTGATACTCTTTGTGCCTTTGTGCTGTAGACTCAGCCACAGGGAGTTTTATTGCTCCTTGCTTTAAGCTACAGTAGCTTATACCGGTAGTAGCCTGCTGGTGTTGGAGAGGGCAGGCCGATGCGGCATATCTGGGGATTTCAACATTGAGGGGAAGTCAAACCCTGAGCGGCCCCACGGTTTTCAAGCTTACTATAGCACCGCGCTAAGAGTCACTACCGGTACTCCTTGATTGTCGGAATGGCGCATGGGCGGACGTGGAACGGGGAGTGACTTATCGGTGTCATACTTTTGGGATTTGCTATGGATTTGCTATGGCACTGAACTGTGGGCGCGGTAAGCGTCTGACGCCTGGGTTGTGCACGAACAGCAGAATCCATGTACTAGTACAGTACTGTACCGGTTCAGTACTCGAATATGGTCGCACCTCGCTATCCCGGACAGCCAAAATCCAAGGGATCTGTCCGGCATCGCGGATTATCCAGGATAACGGGTCAGATTTTGGCGTGGATGGATTTAGAATTCACGGAATTTCACACGGGACAGCGGGGTATCCGTATTATCGAGGTCCGGGACGGCGAGGTTTGACCGAACTAGGCCGGCGATATACCGTAAGAGTGCCGCAGCGCCGGTGCCCGAGCAGATACAGCATAATAAATCCCGGGGTGCCGCAAAGTACATATCATATCTCCAATATTTGGGTGCGGAACATGAGTGTACTCGTACTGTACCGGTTCCGGTACTCTGGATGGAGGTCATTTCGCCCCCTACTCCAAGAAAGTAGTTTCGGTGCTCTTGATACTGTATAGCGGTATTCCACTAGATGCTCGAGTAGATAGTGGCCTGCACCATTGCCATCTACGCCATCCAATGATACAGGCGCAGAGGTAAATTATCGTGTCGCATTGGCTGTGCACAGTGAACACCAAACAGGCTCTGCGCCGTTGTGCCGCCCACACAAATTATTTGCGCGCCAATGGCGGCGGCAGTATCGCACCAAGTGGCGCTATGCAGCCAGTATCAACCTCATTGTGTGCCTTACAGTATGGTACATCGAAACTCTTTCCTCAGGATCTCAGCCATCTCCTAAGTTGGCACGACACCCGAGTACCGGGCGTGGTAGCTGTGTTCTTAAGACCAATTGTCCTAAGCCCCTGCGATGAAGGCACACCGTGCCTGGGTACGACGATATTGTGCTTTGCGCTGGTACCCACAATAGTCGCGGTCAGGCTCACAGGCGTCTGATTCAGATGCGGTTTCCCGGCACTGCCCTCAGCGTTTTGACCGACGTCGAGTGCGGGGAGATGACCTTCAAAACAGAAATGTCGCCAAGGCATGGTGCGCATCATTGGGCGAGAGAGGGGGTTGGATTGGAGCCCGCTGATTCGGCCCCGAAGCCTTGGGATTCCTCCTGTGCTCCCCTCGATCGTCATCCACCTTTCGCATCCCTGCCTGTATCATACACAAGTTCTGTGCACCCAGGAGAGGGCGGATTCGGACTTCACGTCCTCGAGTGCGTACGATGCAAGCCCGGAGGTGCGTCGACGGGGGACGGAGGGGATGTCAATCGATTACTTGTACCGGTGCCAGAACTCGAGTACTCGAGTACTGTACACAATCGCACTTGTGCATCTTCCTGCATCGATAGGGGAGAAGAAGAAGTGAAGTCTTGCCTACGAGTAGTCTCATTCGCTCCCCCCCGCGTTCATATGACCATGTATGATATGTCCGTGTGCTCCAAGGCGTGCGTAGTACGAGTACCAGGTACGGTACTCGTACGGCACTGATTTTATTTATTTATTTTTTCCCTCTTTATTTTTTCAAGAATTTATCATACAAAAACGATCCCACCACCACCCACCCCCTCCTGCCTTTCCCCTCTCGCTTTTTGACGGATGGCATGCGCTGCTGATCAGCAGTAAGATCCATGCTCGCTTCATCCTTCCTCCCCCAGCCTCGAGCCCCAAATGCATATCATACTGTAAGCAGCAGGACAACCTTCTTTTCAAGCCACCCAGAACCTTTGCAAGGAAGAGAGAGTGGGGATCGACAGAGAGGGGGAAGGCCAGAATGCAGGTGATCCAAGGACTTCCAAGACATCTCCCGACAATGGCCTCGCCTAAAATAGGGAATCCTTTCGAAAAGGTTTCTTTTCTAGGTCCGGGACAGTGCAGAAGGTACGGTAATACCGGTACGAAAGGCTTGCAACTGAATTCAGTCTTCTTTTTTCTTTCCCCACTCCCCTATCCTTTGATCCATTCTTGCGGTCTGGATTTCGCGTGATCTTTCTTTTTCCGGGATACGGGCGCAGAAACACTTCTCTTTTAGCCAGGTCTCCACCGTCTCCGGGGCATGAGGGCATCGCATCCCTGAGCGCGATTCAAGGGGTCTCCTCTCGTTTGTCCAATCCCCGCCCTGGCCCTCAATTGTGGCTCTCTCCAGTCTTGAGCCTTGGGACACGGGCACCAACCCTCCTCGCCGGAAGTGGTTTCGCTCCAAGGGCCGCGTCTTGTTATCCTCCCTTCAAAAGCCTCTCTCACTTCTTTCTTCCCGAGGAGAGGCAAAATAGGGAGGGTCTAGTCCCTCTGAGATCTCCTGAACCTTCCCCCTCCTCCTCCCCCGATCCTTGGGGCATTCCTTTTTATACATATCTATTTCCCGTCTTGTTTCTCGCAATTTCTTCATTCCTCCACCAGCCTTTCTATCGTAACTGAGCTTCTTCTCTCGTTCACCACTGCCCCCCCCCCTCTTTTTTATACAGAGTTTGCTATTCTTCTCCCTCCTTCTGCGCGCACTTTTCCTTGTGCTCTTGCTCCTATCAACCCGGTTCCATAGTCCTGCAACATCCCTCTCAACCCACCAAGCCCACGGGTAATTGGGAAAGGATCAACACCATGGCGAACGGATTATCTCTAGAGAAGCTCCCCCTGGAAGGTAAGGGAAGATATTTATCATCTGTCACCAATTCACAAGGCCCGGTGCCGCCGGCCCCTCAGCCGTGTCCCCCCTTTACCTCCTGTCTGCATCTCCCTTTCCCCCTTTGCGGCCGGCGAGGAGCGAAGGGCGATTTCAAGTCTGACAAAGGCAAATAGTGATCCACCAGGTGTTCTCCTTCGCCTCACCCCGGGACCTAATATCGCTGCGCTTGACTTCCCATTCAATACGCTCCACAGCGACGGCAAATACCCATTGGCGTCGTCACTTCTTCGATAGCCTCTTGTCTTCACATGCCGTGCTCACTGACGACATATCCTCGATAGCCCACGATCTATGGGCGTTCCGGCTAGTACCAGACGGGTGGTTCCGAGCTTATAGCACCGTAATGCGGGTCGCGAGGGAGGACTGGTTGCGCACAGATGAGCAGTTGAAGGGCTCGACTTGGACGGTTTTTTTCAAGAGCTTTCTGCGGGAGGGAGGAGCGAGTGCGGATGACGCAACTCCTCATGCATTGGTGGAACTGACGCACGATTCGACTTCCATTATACTAGAGGGATTGCCACTCCGTGGCGGTCCGTGGCACGTGGATCAGAACAAGACCTTAAGATGTTCGTATCGCCCTCACTTGCTCTACTTTTCTTTTTCCCCCTCCAGCTTGCCTTCGTCTGGAAAAGGTTTGAGGTGGGGTTTGGGTAATGGGGGGAAGGCTATCTTCTCACCCGCCGCGGCAAAGCAGCCTGTTCTCAAAAGGTCTCACTAACACCATCAAAAAAAACTGTTACAGTTTCCGGCTATCCTCCAATCGTTCCATCCCGAGACCCCCACACATGGTGCAGGGTAATGCAACATGTATCAGTGCTCATGCTTGCGGATTCCCCCGAATTCCTAGATGCCCTTAATGTGCTCAATGCTGAGATCCTTGAGGAATCTAGTGCAGCCGGACTCATTGACATGGACAAGCGTCAAGCCCTGGAATCGGGTCTCCGTGATAGTCTACAGACCGTCGGAGAGAAACGGAAGAGTGAGTTATCGGCGAGGCTTCGAAACCTGCATTTGTTGAGGAGTTCTGCAATGGAGCAAAGCATGAATTATGGTTACCAAGGCACCGGAAACCCGGGCAGCAGCAGGTCCGGGGGTGCCAGTGCTAGTGGCAATGGGGGGATCGTGGTAAGTCCCCTGAAAGAGCTAGGTATGCGCATTTAATTTTTTTCTCTTCCCCGTTCACCCTTTGATTTCCACGCGGTATAGAGATATACCTGGCGGCCTGCTGACTTGTGTATCATTGGGGGTGATGTAGGAAAGCGAGGAGTATGATTTCTGCGACAGTGATGAAGGTTCATTCATTCAACTCTTCAAGACATGGGCGATGACTTCCCCTGCGGGGCCATGTTATCCTGACTACTTTCCTCGCTTTTTGAGACTTCCCCATGGGTCGTATTTTATTCCATGTTTTTCCTCATTTCCCCTTGGCCATGTATTGGGGATTTTTTATCCATCTTTCTTTTCTCCCCACTCAAGAATGATGCTGTAGGATCTCTTGTAATTTGCTATCCATCAGCGCAACTCACCGGATCAGCCCCACGGTTAGTTTAGCTGGACGGGTTAGCGGAATGGCGAATACCAACCAATAGGACCCAACACATCCAGAGGGCTCGGGCTATCGTGTCAGGAAAGCCCTAATCCTTCTCGGGAGTTTTTGTCCCTGAATCCGGTGGCTAGGTCCCTGTCGGAGATAGCGGATCACGAGAGATCTTACGGTGCCGGTACTGCAATATCTTTTTAATCACCTTTTTTTTTATCTCTTCCCTCTTTTTTTCCCTTTCGATATTGCTCCTTTATGTATCTTATATGGAGCGAATCATTTCACACAATAGCTCAAGGGCAGGGCGGCATGCGCGGGGGGTGATGCAGCAAGGACGAGAGGCGCTTTCAACATGCTGGCGTGCATGAAGATGTACCGTAGAAAGCATAGAACCCTTTTGTGGTCCCTAAACCCTTTTTTTTTTTTTTTTTTTCAATCTCAAAAGCAACTTTTTATTGTAGTACAGGCACTTTTTTGGTAACCTACGTTACGATATCGCCTTTACTTTGGGGATTCGCAGCTTCCTCGAGTACCTGATGCGGGAAGGACACACGAGCATTGCACTGTCACTGCTCGTACCAATAGTGCGCCGCAAGCCCGACATCCCATATCACACATCACAACCACATCCACAATCAGGAATGGGTGGAAAAAGAAATTGGACTCTTTCTCCCTTCCTTCCACCGTGCTACTCGCACTGCGGTGGTACGGGGCCCGAGTAGAGAGCCTTTGCGCAACGAGTTCGAAGGGCGCCCCGCGCAGAGGCCACCAGGACCGAAACGGGCTTTAATTTAATGTTCAGGTAAATACTGTACGGTACAGGCTAGACGCCACCCGACCCTTCGCCCAGCCCTTCTCCCTGCCCCACACGACACCATGATATGATACGCTACCGTGCTACCGGTACGGTACTCGAGTACGGTACTGCGCTGTACCGTACCGAGAATATTAGACTACGAGTGCTCCGTGCAATAAGTTAATATGGGCTATGATACACCGCTCAGGCCCGTTTCGCGAACGCATCTAGCCCTCCCTAGCCTCCCACCCATTCGTCTGTTCTCGGATTCCACACATAGACTACACACAGACACACACATCCTGTCCAAACGTCTAGGATTTTATAAACTAATACTCGGCGATAAACGGAGAAGGGAGAAAGAAAGAAAGAAAGAAAGAAAGAAGGGCCACTGTAGACTATCTAACTTATATCCTGACCGTGGCCAGGCCAGTGGGTTCCTTACAAATGACACTGTAACTTGGTTGGTTATATTCGGTAATTAGTCAAATGATTAGTTTCCAAAAAGTTCTAAGGTAACTTATCCGTCTATGATATCTCATCACCACCAAAAACCCTACGATATGCTCGAGTATATATGGTAGAAGAAAAAAGAAAAAAAAGGAACTCCCGCCAGAGTTCCAATAATCGCGCTGTACACCTCATATCATCGACAACCACAGCGAACAAAGGGGGAATATATATACAGGGTCTCTATTTATCAGATACTTCATCCCTCACCACAACCCTACTCTAGACTATTATACTCTACCGTATTCCACTCTACGAGTACGAGTACCGGTACTCGTACCAAACCAACCATCGGAAAAAGCAGCCCCGGAGGAATTTGTGAAAAAGGAGCCACGCCGGACGGACGGACAAATCCGCCCGCATTTTCCAGTAGCGTGCCGGTATTCATGCGGTACGAGTACGATATGGTGATAGATAGATTAATTAGCCCTCTCTCGTCAAAAAAGAAAATAATAATAATAATAATATAGAAATCCGATTTCACTCTCCCCCCCCCTCCTCCCCTCCCTCGTGCAGTATAGTACTGTACACTACTTCCTCGGAAAATGTGATTTTCTGCTTCGTACTGAGTTAAGTGAGAATGCCATTTCGAATACCGGTGCCTCGAGTAGACTGCTGATATAGGTTGTACGAGTATGGGTTAAACGGACGGACCCTTATTATTACCGGTATACGGTACTCGTACTATACTTGCAGGTGCGTGAGGGGTGAATGAATGAATGATGAGTACAGAACAGTACTCGTACCGCATCATAAGTTAATTTATCATGGCTGGAAACTCCATATCGCTAAGTTTTTTATACAGTCCTTGTAGGACGTCCAGAATTTCCCTCTTTGGCTTACTGTAAGGGGAGACGGGGGGAACTACCGCCGGGGTCCCAACATACGGAAAAAAAAAAAAACTGAAAAACTGAAAAACTACGGTACTACACTCCTAGCTTTTCAGCCCTCTGCTTATGACAGATGAATAAAAAGGGAAAAGCAAAAAAAAATAAGGATTTGCCGGGGGGGCGACTCCAAGTCCCAGTTTGAGGTCCGATTATTCCGGTTTCTACGGGATTGGGTCAAGTTACACGCCCGCTGGGATAACGATGTGTGTGTGTGTGACAAAGGGGAAGAGGGGTGTGGTGGGGTGGGAACAAGATTTTGGGATTTATTTCCTTTTTGCCTGTCCTTTTCTTTTTTCTTTTCTTCTTTCCCTCTCTCTCTAAAGTGCTCGAGTGAATTTACGGCACTGAACTGGTGTGATACCAGCATTTGCCCCCCCTTGTTTTTGGTGGTGGTTGGAGCTCGGGAGGGGGGGGGTGGGGTATGGTGGCTTGGCTTAGTTCGGGGTAAGTCAAGTAAGGGATACATAGCGTAGTGGTGAGTACGATCGTACCGGTACTGTGTTGGAGACTCTTTGAAAGTTATCCTGTGGCTAAGTCATCGTTGGTACGGTACTGTATTCGAGTATCTGGGATGTCTTGCACTTTTGGACTTCCACCTCTAGCATAGTGCTGTACGAGTACTGTGCGGGTATTGTATTCGGAGAGTAGCTTTGGTCTATAAAGTTAGCATATACAAGTACCGCGCGGTACTCAAATTACGAGTACTCGTGTAATACCGGCCTCATTCAGCATGGCCAAGTCACCATGCCTTCCCGGTCTTCCCTGCAGAAAATTGGAGAGGGGTCCAGCACATACCGTGCCTCGATACTCTAGGAGCACAAGTGCTAGGCGTAAAAAGAGAAGGAATGATACAGAGTAGCAGTGCTGATGTTGAAATTAGTGGCGGTGCACCGCGACCAGTACCGTACGAGTAGGCCTGAAGACGCAAGCTGTCCATTGCTCAACAAGAGGCTACCGTTTTGATATATGTACCGAATTGGAGGCCAGGCACCTGATTCATCAATCATATTTGCTCAAAGCTGACCAGGACAAGAGGAAATACGGTAGAGGACCAAGTTGCCTGGGTGGACTGTAGCGCTGCTTCTGAAAATCAATCATGCACCATACAAGTACCGGTGCCGTTACTTCATGCCTTGACCCTTGTAACTGACGTTCAAACGATAAATTTAGTTCTCGAGCAAGCATCATGCCAGTACGAGTGCTTTTCCTTCTTGCTTTTTCCCTCCTTCCATCACGTCTTCCATTCTTTCTGCCAGCATATCCCCTGCTCCGTCATCGCGTGGGAGATGGCAAGGAAATATTAAGCATGGGCAGGGGAGGGGGCCAGGCGGGCGGGAAGGTGCAAGTGTTACAAATAATCGTAATGGCGCGACGTTTGTGAACAATGCCGAATGCAAGTATCATACCGGTGCGGTGGAAGCACTCTTTTTGGAAGGGTCCGGCTTGGGTAAAGTTGCCGGCCGACCCCGATGGAGAGGAATTGGCGGGGGAAAAGGGGCATTGACGGGGAGGGAGAAGCAGGTAGAGCAGAGGGAGGGTGGAGGAAGCAGAGGAGAGGTGTTTATGCGAAACTTGACGCGCACTGGGAGCCGGTATTAATAGTCGGGCTTTATAGGGCAGAGTACAGCGCTGTGCGGCATGATACCTGCTTGCTGGCTACAGTATGACAACGTGGCACTCCTGCTCGGGCCCTGTCATCGTCGCGGTACAACAGCCCCCTCGGCAAGAACGGGAGGGGGTTTCCTCGAAAGGGAGCTATGATGGTATCTCATACCGGTAGTGTCTCCGGCATCAACATACCCTGCTCCACAGCACCATGAAACCCCCTGAACAGAACACGATGGGGATGCCTGCCTGCCTGTACGCCCTTATCTTGCGAAAAACGTGTCATCAAGGATATTTATCCGCTTCTTCTTTCCTTGCCTCTTTCTCACCGCGAGTGATGCTTATGACGCGTCAGTGTACAGTACGAAAGTGAAAACGGCACTGCTCCGGAATCACCGGTGATGATTCGGTTTGGCAGGCGTACCACGGCGGTCCTGACGGGATACGGGCGGGGGTGTGAGAAGGGGGGATGGAGGAAAAGAGTAAACTCTGAAGTCTCGGGAACCGCTTCGGGTACCGTAAACTGGGGGAATTGAGAATGACACTATTATAGAACGTCCAAAGTTTGCCCTTTTGGGCTAGGGGAGAAAACATAGCAGAGGAATTGTCTTTCGGCCATTAGTTGAGGCGAGCGGACCCTAAGTACTGGGGGGGGTGCGGAACCTTGACTTTGATACTCGAGTACACGTCCCTCGCCACACTCTCTACCCACGACGTGATTTCTCTCTTCTCATACCGATCATTTCGTCATCGCAACGACGGCACGGAAGGCGTTTGCTTACCAAACTGAAGGGTGGTGGGTTCCAAAGGCATTGTGATATGTGGTTGGGGCCTGATATGTTTGCTCTTCGAGAAGGTGTGGTGACCCTATGGTGTTGCTGATGCCGGTGCCTTCATGGTGACATGGTAAGAGTGATGAGCTGTGAAGGCCGCTTATCATGAAAAAGTTATGCTGAGGCGTAACTTACCTCCGCCATTTCCAAAGTTGCCAAAATATACTAGTACAGTGGGGTCCGGTGCGGCTTGGCGGGGTATGATCTTGGCACGGTTGTCGCAGCCTGATGTATTATAATTATGATATCGTATGGATGATCATTGACAGGCTTCTGTTATATTGTGGTAACGCCTGTGCCCCTCCTGAGAAAATATTGCTCAACCATAACCCCCCCCAAAGGATTTTTAGTCACTACCCCGATGATGATTAATGCCCTATTCCGTGATGGGGTGAGTGGTTCTCTCCGTGTAAATTGAGGAGAAATAGGAATATCCCTTCCGTGGAGGTCTTGGAGCTTACAGGTTTGACAAACTTTTGGTATGACGGGAGCTAGGAATGTCAGGACGCGTTAATTATTGTTAATCTCTTTGGAAAAAAAGCTGGTAGATGTCAGCAGGAGAAGAACCAGTAATAAGGCCAGGCTTTAAAATTCAACCTACAATCATCAAGGCATGATAGAATGGGTGTCCGCCTGTCCCAGCTGGCTACTGATGTGCCCCTCGTCATGAGTATCAGTGTTCTGAAACAAGCTCAAGTTATCAACGGTACTTTCTTCCTTTCTTCCTCCCTTCTCACCGCCTGCGGGCGTATAATTGGACCGGTTCCTTTTACTGTAGGGGATTGCTTTGCCCTTCGTGTTATAATTTGTGCCTTTGCCTGGCTGGTCAAAAAGAGATGGTGATTATCCATGACTCATGGATCCCGAGCTACCTATGTTAACAATTGATATTGCCGGGGGTCCAGGAAGTTGAGGTTACTCGCGGCGCTGATCTCGGCTTAGGGAGTGTGGCTCCTGTGTTTTTCGGGTGGGAGGGGCCGTTGCGATCGCCCTCTGCGCTGTTTTCTCTGGCTCTTCGGTGCCACTCACTGTTGTGGAGATATGCAGAGAGCGGGAGGTAGTGTCCGTGGAATGTTAAGATTTGTAGGGAAGAAAGAATATCGGAGGCGAGGATTTGCGGCCAGCATGTGTACGCAGGGTTTATCTTCATACCGGGAATAACCTTACGTATCATCCTCAGCTAGCCAGACAGCTAGTCAACTCACTGCTCGTCTGGAATCCTTTCGGGAACTCTGGCGAGAATGAATTAAACAAATTGTACAAAATGAAATAATATAAAACTCGCATAATGTACGCCCTTCAAAATCCCAAACTCCAAAAAAAAGACCCCCCCCGAACACATTTTTTCCTGCTCACTCTACTCCTACAAACCAATCCTACACCATATGGGGTCCAGGCGAAGGCTTCGGTGCCCGACCAAACTTCCTCTTCAGCTGCGCCAGGATCTTCTCATTCAACCCATAGGTGATGGCATTCGCTAATCCAACGAATTGGGTACTAGCCTGCAAAAGCTGCAGAGGCCTCGAGCTACCGCCCGCAGCCTCCACCAACCTATTCACGATTCCGGGGATCACGAGAATGACGTAGAATGTGGGGTAGGCCCTCATAAGCAGGATCTTTTTAACCTTCTTGAATTCCGAGTCCTGGCTTGGTGGTTTTCGGGTGTCCATCTTATGGTACGCGCCTCTGGCTGCGGATACCCCCGCTGCGGACTGGGGGTAGGGACTGCTCTGTCCCTGCTGATCCTGGCGGCGTAGTTGGTCCTCCGTAACTTCCATCGTCGTCTCAACATGTGTGTTCACCTCCTCGGCTAAATTGTGGCTGGGGGCGGACCGGCTGCCGTTGCTGTCATGAAGTTTCGCAGGCATATCCCCTAGCGATGCCTCGTCGTCGTCATCGCCCACGTTGTGGGATTTGCGGGAGTGAGCAGTGAAGCTCTCCGGCGACGTGCTCTGCGATTGCAAGCCCGTGGAGTCCGTAAGTGAGCCTCCACGTGCATCGCGGACCTCCTTGAAGTGCTTGCGTAGGAAGAGGTGCAAGTGGGTGTATAGAATGATCACTGAGATGATCACAAAGAAACGCCAGGCGTGGGTTAGGACGTAGCGCAGGTGTGCCGGTTTTTTTTGGATCCAGCACCAGTTTCCGCTGACCGGGTGGTACCAGTCTTTCCCGAGGGCCGTGAAGCCTGTAGGGTTTGTTAATTGGTCGTTCAGTGGAGGGCGAGGGGGAGGGGGTGCAGGAAGAGGGTTATTACCCGTGATGAAGGGGATAACCCAGATAGAGCAGACTGCGAGGATTGCCTTCCGCGTGTTCCACATGCGGAATGTTATGGGATCTGTAATGGCCCAGACTGTTGCGATCGCAATCGCTAGGATGGAAAGATCTGTTGCCTGGAGAGGGTGGTGATGCGGTCGTCAGCGACGATTCATCACTCAGACCATCCATGCAATCACTAACCTGCACAGTGATTTGGGTTACCAGCCCATTCATCCTACATCCAATGCCTTCCGGCAGTTCACGATTCCGGACCAAGATGTAGAAGCCCGATGCCGAATTGGATGTAGCATTGAGGAAGTCTAGAAGTATTCTATATATCAGTATATATGCATCACTAGTGCAGATTCGTGGGAACAAGAAGTATTAGACATACCAGCGAGAGCCAAACTCTGGATCAGCCTATGCCTGAAATGCCGCTTTAGTGGAAGGAACAGGTAGCAAAGACATATGAAACCAGTACCAAGCGCAGACAGCGAACTCCCGATAAGGCTCAATATGGAGACGCTCAGTCTCATGCCGGTTATTGCAGTCATATTTCCCCGAGTCCTTTATTCTGGTGGCAGATTTGTGGACAAAAGCTGCAGCGGGAATACTTAGACCCTCAGGTGAGTAGGTAGCGTTCAAAAGCGAAACAAGGAAAGCAAAGAAGAGTGAAGAAATGGAGAGAAGAAAACTTGAGAGAGGCTCTCAGTTTTGTTCCCTCAATGTGTAACCAAAGTGGCTGTGGGAGAAAAACTTTGGGGATCGGTATCTGCGGGAACGCCAATCGCCTGTTTAAGGGCCTGATGGGGTGGATAAGGTGCCGTAATGAGGGAAACTCACTGGCAAGGGAAGGCTGCACATAAACTCTGCTACACGAAAATGCTATGCATACTTACCCCATTACCGAGCTTTCGTTCCTTCTGCCTGCTGACATCGAGTTCAGGCACGGGGCAATCACGAGGGAGGAGGTTAATTGGATAGCTGGCTTGTAATATGGTGTGAGTGTGTGTGTGTGTGTGTTTGTAGGAGTGGCAGGTTCCGGAAAGGCGCGCCACTCACTTACTTGAGCGATACAATACCGTATTGGCCGCCCATCTCCAACGACAAGAACAGAGCCACTTTTGACAAATCCATGCGTTGTCCACCGCCGTAACTTGACTTGACTCGCTCGCACACTCATTCGCTTGTTGCACAGTATCAAAAGTGAAGTGGTGAGGAGCGCACTTCTGCATATCGCAACAGCACCGGGAACAAGGATTCGCCAGAACCCAGGTAATCTAGCTTGGCGGGAGCTTGTTTTCTCCCGTCTATCTGGATCAGAGCGATTCGCTCGACACCGTATGGGTGTTTCAAAGGTAAACTATCATTGGGGGGGGAAAGACCCGGCACCCCCATCCCTCCTATCCTCTCTTCTAGTTAGATGGATGGTTATTGGGCTACTTGAGGGGACTTCCTGTTCTTTGCCATTGTACTGGTAGATTACGGTAAGATGGGCTTTGAATCATCTCCCCATATCTGGGCCATACCTACAGAAGTGGGGGAGAGAAGGGATAGGAGTGAGAAAAACAACCCTAACAAGCAAGCAAGCAAGAAACGAGTCGACCATTGGTATTCCCTATTCTGTTTCACTTTTTTGACCCCTCTCCCTCCCCATCCACCATCCCGAAAAGCGCTTAAGTTACCCCCGCAAACAATCTGCCAATCGTGATCACGCAGTGCTCTAGAATTGAGGCAGGAAGGATAGCCGATATCCAGTCCACGATAATAGGACGGACACAAAAGAAGGAATGAAAGAAAGAAAAGAGAAAAGAGAAAAAACTCTCGAAAGACCCAACAAGGATATGGACGGAGTGCAAAAGTGGGGCTCTATGATGCTGATGTTCTTCTGCGCAGGGTTTGTGCAATCGGGTGTGTGCTAACTATGATAATTGGTCTACGGCAAGTGCCGCACCTTGCCGTGTGCCCCTCCATTGGCACTGCGCCGTACTAAATTTTCTGTCCCTGGATTCTCGTAGACATGATACCCCGGTTGCTGCTCTCAGGAGAAGCGGAGCTAAGGCGAAGCGAGGGCCACAATCGTACCCATTATATCGGAGCGCCATATGTATTGAAGTGCCACGGCCATACGTCAATGGTTGTTACAAGTATCTGCGACTTTCTTTCTTTTTCTTTCCCTTCTTTTTGGGCTGACTTGACAGGCACATGTATCCATGTCCTTGTATTGTACTGTACTGTACTCTACCTAGCTTATCGGTAGATGGGTTGAAATGAGGGGCCGGTATTGGGCCCGTGAAAATAAGCTCTGCTGACTGACTGACTGACTGACTCTCTGGCCGGAGAGCCCGGCCTCTTGTTTTGGGTGCCATCCTGTACTGCACTAGTACATTATTCTAACAGATGAAGAAGCTTCAATGGGTCCGGTTAACCTGGCGTAAATTGATGAGCTGGACAGTGCCCCAGGGCAGATACGTTCTGTGCAGCCCGATTGATTGATTTGGTCAGGTATCACACACGGCGAGCATTTAAGTTAAGTCAGTCCTGCAGTTTGTACAGTACAGGGGATGGAAAAAAGTAATGCGATGCTCGTACAATACAAACTCCCATTCATGAACAACGTTGGTAACATATAGTACTACCCCCTTTCCACAACAACATTTAATAAATAAAATAAATAAAATAAGTAAAGGACATAAAATAAAATAATCCTCAGGATTCCCTGAAAGTGAAATAAAAAGAAAATAATAAATCAGGAATGAGTTTGGTGCCATTTTCTTTTAATAACCTCTCTGACCTGCTTTACTACAAGTAAAACAAACTGAGTATCAAAGGATACTCGAAACCACAAATAAAATAAAACATCAAACAAATCCCTGAACTGAATTCCACTAGCAGTTCTGGTTACAGTCCTGTTAACTAATTTTTTTAACACCTGAAATGGCTTGTTAGCACTAGCTTATGAGCATGATGTTAGAACCCACCTGTCCAGCTCATGAATTTTTTTTTTTTTTTGTTTGTTGTCATTCTTTCTTATGTATTCATATAAGATTGCAATTGATTTGAATGAATTCAGGGAGTTCTTTTCAGTCAGGTCAAATCCAGAAACAGGAATGGAGAATAAGTACTCATGATCTAGGTTCCTTGCCAGATGGCAGTGTTGATCTTGGCAAGTTGCCGCTCTTTTCTCCTGATTGTTGGAATTATCAATTCCCTTCTCAAACAGTCTATTCAGTTAGTCGAAAGAGCCCAAGACTTGCTAGTTAGGGCGCAGCCCACTTATCCTATCTTGAACTATTATATCTTCAACTCCGGGGGATCCCCCCACCTGTTCCACCTAGGGAATTCCACCCCTCCTCCAGCAATCCCCGTGGTCCCCCTCCCCTGTGTGGCATCCCAACAATACTACCTACCCATCTCTAACATAGCAATACTAACCATCAAACTCCTCGCAATTAACCCGCCTACCACGCTCAGACCGGTCAACAACAGAGCCTGGCACAGGCATCCTGATCGCCTGCCATAGCCGCTCCTCACAAAGGACGTGTTGGCTCCTCTCACTATCCAGTATTACCAGTATCTGGGTCGTGTAGTCCCGGGCATCAGAGGTAGGGGTGTTGAGAGTGGTGGAGGTGATAGGGGTGCTGAGTATAGCGAGGGTGGGAACTTGAAGGGTGGTGGGGGTGCCGGACATGGTGGGGATGCAGAGGATAGCACAGGCATTGGTCGGAAAGTTCTCGATAATAATCCTTATAGGGAGGACGCCTACACGTTTGTTGATCAAGTAGGCTGTTGTCCCTAGGAGGCCAGTCAAGAAAGTTGCAAGTACTGCACCATGGTACTTAAAGGTTCTCTTCTTGCACTTAACTGTAATTACCAAGTCAGAAATTAGGTCTTTGTCAAGTGTAGGGGTAGATTGAACTGACATTGCATATTGCAGCAGCCGCAAACCATCTCGGGAAATAATAAAGATAATAATGAGTATACTAGTGCAGGATAAGGATGGGGGACAAAAGTCAGATGAGAATGTTTGCAAGAATGTCTGGATAAGGACAGGGGATAAAAGTGAGAAGATGAAGGTTAGAAAGAAAGTCACCATGTCAGCCATCAAATACTCTATCTCTACCCAAGCTTACGCATGCCATGAAGCATCTGCTAGCTCACGGGCAACAGGTTAAAACCATATGCAATGGGTGGAAAGGGGTTGGATACCTTGGGGAGTGCCCCAGTGTTCCCTACCGTCCCGGGCGCCCTGCAGGGCCCTGGCGGGCTTGTAGTCCCGGGCGTCCCGGGCGTGGTGGGTAAAGACGGCAGGGCATGGCGTCCGTCTTTGATAGAGACTGCGGTCCGAGGGGTTGACGCCCGGGCCCGGGGCTCTTAATACAAATGGCATCTTCCAGCCATCCTCACCAGGCCTGGCCGTCATCTACAGAGCAGGCTCTCATCTGCAGGTCTATTTGCAGGTGAGACACCTATAGGGCCCGGCCGGCCGTCCCGGGCAGAGGTTAGGACGGACCACAGGCCGGGCGTCCGTCCAGGGCAGAGTTCCAGGAACCGGCGTCCGTCCCGTCCGAATCTAAGGACGGACGGACCGGACGCTCGGGAACACTGTCCAGTCCTCCATGGTTTTCCCAGATCAACTTGAGCGCATCTACCTCTTTATCTATAAAACGGGTAACATCGGTATTAATAGCGTATTGATGGATTCCCGAATTGAGTAGAATCAGGTTCTGTCGGCGTAGCAAGTGCTTCGTGACTCATAAGGACGATGTTCAGCCAGGTGGGACAGTAGAATTGAAGAAACAGAAGGGTTCGGGGGACTAGATGCCATCCTTCTCTCGAGAGTGCCAAATACTCGTACGACAACGTCATTAAGAATCCAAGGCCAGGCAGCCAAGCCCGCCCTAGTTGCCGCAAACAGTAGAATAACTTGGCATTTCCCAAAACACAAAAAGATTTTTCGACACGTCTCATGTGATGGGCTCAGATCTCGGCATGTTCATGAGTAAAGCCCCTCCGAATACAATATTATTCTCTATCTACCGACTGCGCAGCCATCCATTTCGTCTCCCAGATCCTAAGTGGCCCACAATTCCACTAATTCTTGCGGGAGTTATATGTGCCATCAGGGTGTTATGCTGGTGATTCCAATCATCTACATACCGGTATTCTTTGTATCGCGGATTCCTGACTAGGTATCAATCAGATCCGGGAAATTACCGGTATGTGATAACTTTCCCTCACAAGTTTTCTCAGAAGCTCAATGACGGAACATTGATGGTAGCGACCTTAAGCCTCCAGTCCCACTCCCCAGAGCCCCTTCTAACAAGGGCCGCTGACAACAAGAGGTTTTGCTAGGGAAGTGATGGAAGATCGTGCGTAGACACCCAAGACGTAATTTCATCACTCCTACCACCACCATGGAATTTCTACCCGCAATATACACTACTTGATGTTTGTCATCAAAATGCCACACACATCTCATGGCTAGTGAGAAAGCAGCTCTCGGTTGCCCATGTGCTGAAAACGAGACTCATGACGGGGGAGGGATAGACAGATGGTATGCAGCAACTTGCATGCTCTTTCCGACAAGGTTCGTGCCCCCTAATTGATTTCAGCTGTATCGTTACTAAATATGGTGGCGCTAGCCCATGATATCGAGATATCGGTAAGGCAATAGCGAGTCTAGATATTAGTACGGTATGGCACCGGCGTTTAGGAGGTGCTATCCATCTTGTCTGGGCAGATAGATAGGGTACAGTACTCATTCGGTACTCGACTGTTGGGCTGTGCGGCTATAGGCTGCCATACCTTTACGGAGGCTACATCCCCCCTTGGCGGCAGTAAACTACAAGTACTATCATACCTAACTTGCAACTCTACTCGTACTGCCCCTCCCTCGCCTGTGCGCACTGGAGACGCGAAGCTCAGCCAATTCTAACTGGTGCAAAGGAATCTTGTGCCATCATGTCATGATACAGGGAACAGGTAGATCCCAGCCCTAGGGTTTCAGGAGCGCATACCGTATGATACCAACTACCACACGTACTCGAGTACCGTACTCGAGTACGGGTGCTTCGACTACAACCGTATGATACCAGTACCCATTCGCCCTGACATCGTGCCGCCCGACGGTCCTTGTCAAACCATTGCCTAATCGTTAATCTTACCAATACCTCTACAAGGGATCGGTTTCCACGCTAGGCTAACTTTGCTCTCTCCAGGGCTATTTCCAAACGAGCATAACGGGGGCTTAAGCTGCAAGTTACCAGGAAGCATCGGGTGCGCTAGGCGGCCCGAACCGTGGTGAAAGCTGTTATTAATGATAAAGGATTTCTCCTTCGCACAGATCAAGTAGAAAGTTGGTCAGGCGCGCGCGGTAGTAAATATGCCAGGGCATCATGGACCACAACCTCTTCCTAGTGCAACCCCCCCAACGACTGGAGCTAGTGCACAGTACAGTACTCGTACGATGCCTCAAGCCGAGACGTCCGGAATTCCCTCCCTCGGATTGAGGGAAGAAAAAAACCGCGGTGAGAAAAACTGCCATTCAGCCCTCTACTTAGAGATAAGGAGAGAATTTTGAGAGTGAGAGACATGACTATCAGGGGCAACCGATATCCCAGCGTGAGATCCAATTATCCCAGTTCCTTTGACCAATAGCCTTGCAGAACCATCCCATATCGTAATACGCTTTGGCAATTATGTTGTACCCAGGATGAGTAGGTTGGTCTATTAATGGGAGACGTGGCCGGTAGCCTTGTGTCGCCGCATTTTCGTACCACATACCGGTTCTTGTATGATACCGTGCCGATAGACCGCGGGCACTGTGCAGTCCCACCCTCAAAGTCTTTGCAGAAAGGGAGAAAATATCATGCCACGGCAGGGCCTTAGCCGCAACAATAGTAACTGTGGAAGCCATTGCCATATATTTGCAGTCCAAATCATGCAGAGTAACAGACTCAACCATCAAGCTGAAGCCGCAGCCGCAAACTCTGCCCGTACCCCTCATATAATAGGCTTCCAGGGAGTGACTATCAATGAGGATGTTAATGTTAAATATGGGATCCATACCTCTCATACCTGACAGTATCCAATATCTTGCGTAATACCGATACCGGTATCCTACTTCCGTCGCCCCCGAGACCCTGCCACGGTACTGTGCCACCCCCTCCGCGGATGGAGCTGTACGAATACGGTACGGTGGTACTGGCACTACCAGCACTCCTATCACAAATGCAAACAGCAAATTCACGAGTATCTCCAAGGCTGGCGAAACCCCAAAATTTTAATGCAGACCCTGACAGCTTCTGCGACAGACGTCCACAAACAACCCTTTTCAAAATCCCACAGATGTGTACGCCTCGGGCCACGGCTGGTGACCACATTCAGGCTCACAGTCATAGGGGAATATCGGGGCAGAGGGCCGAACTTTGCCCTTAGTCAACCATGTCTCAAAAGCCGACAGGGGACAGCACAAAATTTTCACCCATTCACTACTGTACTCGAGCACGCTAGTCCGGAGATATGATACGCAAAAGTGGGCCTTGGATACCGTATAAGTGATAAACCTGGGCATCCTGGAATGCCATCGCCAGTGCATCACAAATCATGCGCTGATAAGTGAGACCAGATGTGAGAGCTACCCACCGGCCGCCCCTGAGGGAGAATTTCTCGAATGGAAAGAAAAATGGGCGGAGAAAGGCTTTCGTAAAGGATTAGGGCTCTTGCCTAGTCATTTTGTCCACTCATTAATTCTTGTATTATAATTATGATAATAATATTATAATACTTTTATTGCCATGCAAACCTTTTTTCATCCAGGGGTGACCCCCACCCCGACTCCGATCCATACGCACATCCTCTTGGGCATCTGTGCATTTTTCTTTTCTCTTCTCTTCTTTTCTCTCCTTCTTTCCTTCTCCACCCTTTTCAACCCTGCCTTACCACGGCGTCCCACAGTATGATAGCAAAAGCTTTTTCCGTGCTAGTAGACCGTGCTCGCTTTGTTTTGCTTTGCTCTACCCCGCCCCACCCCGCCGGCCCCGTATTCTCCGGCACCCTTAGGATCCTGAGGCACGCGGCTCCCCAAGTATCATACGGTACATACTCGGCAAGAATGTTCAACTTGAAAAAATCGACCAGGATGATAGCCCACGAGTACCCGCACAGTCATCCCCCACCCTTGAACCATCCGAACCCCCACGATCCGCCAGGAATACACAGCAACGATAACATCGCAATGATTCAAACCCACCCTGCTACCGAGTCATTTGAGCCTCGAAAAGATGGAAAAAAAAATCCCCCCGGTACCACTCTCCGACCAAACACAGCCCAGCCCAACCGCTCTGCCAAAACCCGTCCAAGCGTTCCCGGCGACCAACTGGACTGTTTCAGATTGGCCAGTGTGATATCATACCGTACCATACAATACCGTGCTCGAGGCCGACCGACAGTGCGTGTTTTGTGCCTTTCGCCGCCTTTGTTTCACCGTCAGCCACGTTACCCACCACGCCTGCCGTACAGTACCGTGCAGTACTAGTACAGTTCTCGGACTCGTAATTTACAGTGCCTGGTGAGTTGGGTCGCCCTAGCGCAGCACGACGGACGGCGACGGAGATTCTTATTACAGGTAGACTACATGTGCGGCGGATCACGTTACCGGGCTAGCCAGCCACCGGTAGCTACGGCCAACTGTACCACGTACAGTACCGGTACATGTCTCGGTTGGTAAAAGAAGGCTGTCGAAAAACTGACAGAGATAGAGAGAAGGCTTCGAATAAGTTTCGATATATCATACCCGTAAGTAAGAAAAGAGAGAATATGTGCGCGGAAAATTCCCCCGCTACCATGCTCCGGTAATTTAATTGTCAACTCGACTAACGACGACATGTATCTGTGCACCGGCGATTTAAGCATTTGCACTCTTGCTTATGGATGGAGGGCGAGTAAGGTACCGCACAGTAGAGTACTCGTACAGTACAGTAGTTCTCGAGTTTCGATTAGATTTCCATAGCCACCTGTCCTCCCAATCTATTAGCACGGCGATCCCCCGCGCAAGCAGTAGGATTTGTAGCGTATTGTGTGTGATGTGGGTGGTATCCGGGGAAGATTTCGTGGTTTCCTCCACTTCAGTCCTGCGATTGTGGCGACCTTGGTATCTGTTTCCCCCTACAGGTTCTGTACCGTATGATACCGGTATGATGTTGCTGTTTTTTTACATGTATCACAAAGGGGCTTGAAAGGACCGAGTGATCGCTTGTGAGGCTTGGGTGGCCGCCCCGCCCCTACCGCCAAAAGGCACACTACCGAGACATGACTGAACCTACAGTTTCTTGTATATAGGAGAGGTTGTTATTATATCTAGATTCGGGTATCTTGGTTGTCGTCGTTGGGAGTTGGTAGATGCATTAGTGAGGGAGAGAGAGGGTGGGGAAACTCAAGGATCGTGATTGATCCCGATTTGACTTGTCTAGGCACTAGTAGGGGCTAGCAACAGTATGATACTTGCATATCATACGGGCGTTTGTACTGTGCCGTACACATATACGAGACATTTCTTCACGCGAGAAAAAAAAAACTGCCGAAACCGAAATGGAACATATCACAACTTAGCCTTTACCTTTCCCCCCTCCTGTTCCTTGCTCCCGCCATCCCTCAGCACTTTGCGCAAGATCTTGCCGCTGGGACTTTTAGGTATCGCATCCAGGAACCTAACGCCACCCCTTAACCACTTCAACTTCGCACCCTTGCTCCTTTTGACGAACCCCGCGATCTCCTCTTCCATTGCCTTCTCATCCCTACGCCTATACGCTTGTTTAAGCGTCACATAGGCCCTGGGCACCTCGCCCATGGTGTCATGGGGCACGCCAAGCACGGCACAGTCCTCGACTGCCGGGTGGCCGAGGAGGAGGTCTTCAAGTTCTGCGGGGGCAACAGCTACGCCGTTGACTTTGATCATCTCTTTTATCCGGTCGGAGATTCGGACCATGCCGTAGGCATCGATCGTGCCAATGTCCCCGGTATGCACCCAGCCGCCTTCGCCGAAGGTTTCGGCAGTGGCTTTGGTGTTGTCGAGGTAGCCCATTGCGCATTGGGGGCCTTTGGCGAGGATCTGATAATAGTGTTAAGATGTCTTGGAGCAAAGTACGATTGCAGAAGTGAGAACTGACCTCTCCAGGCTGATCGATGCCAAGCTCATTACCGTTCTCGTCAACGATCTTGATAACTGTGCTGGGACATACTTTTCCCACTATCGACCCCGCAAACGTTAGCCAGAGAATCACGGAGAGTTACTGTATTCACTCTCTCATAGGGGAAGAGACCACTATGCGCCCACTTCCAAGGGTACGAATCCTGGAACGTCATCGTTATGCAGCTCGTGCTCTCGGTCATCCCATATCCATGTTTAAGTCCCGCCTGTGGGAACTTCCCTGCGAGCTCCTTGATAATCTCCAGACTTAGCGGCGCCGATCCGGTGCTGAAGCGACGCACATGGCTGAGGTCGTACATGTCCACGATTGGATCACGCACAAGTCGGATGAGAATTGGCGGCACAACCAGAAGCTCTATAAGTTTGAATTTCACGGTTGCCTCGAGCATGGCTCTGATTGTGAACGTGGGAATTACAACTACGCTAGCATTCAGGACGAGGGGGAGATGTAGAAGGTGGATTATGCCCGTTACTGTAAATCAAATCAGCACCCAATCCGGAGATCACCACAGTGTGCTGGAGAAGAGATGTATAATATACAGAAGAAATTTGAAAAAAAAAAGCCAAAACATACTGTGAAAGAACGGCAATGCTGCGAGAACACTGTCTAGATCAGGGGTAGTTAATTGCACCACCTGCAAACACTGCGCAATCACATTCTGGTGTGAAATCATAACCTTCCCGCCCAGTCAGTACAAAAAACCTCCCCTCTGACCAAGAAATATACGGCAAGAACTCACAGCTTTCGGTAACCCCGTAGTCCCACTGCTAAAGCCCAAAAAGCCCACAACCTCTCCATTCGTCTTCCCCCGGGGAATCTCAAAAACCCCAACCTGCCCCACATCGGTATACCCCCGCCCAACCTCAACCAGCTCCTGCACATTCTTGAACCCTGTGACGGACCCCTCCAGTAGGAATATCCTCTCCCTGGGAATCCCCACTCTCCCCGCGGCCGCAACCGCGACAGCGACACTTCCCGGCAACGTGAATAAGAACTTTGCGCCGGCAACTCTAAGCGCATATGTCATCTCGTCAACACCGTAGGCCGGGCTAACACCACTGACTACGGCACCAACGCGCAGAGCCGCGAAAACCGCGACGGGGTAGTATATAGTGTTTGTGCTGAAGAGGCTGACGGCATCATTTGGCTGTAGGTTGTGGGCTTTGCAGAGGGCCGTAGAGAGGTATGTGGAATTGTCGCGGAGGGTATGGTGCGTGAAGCCATTCCCGTTCGAAGCATCGACGAAGGATCCGACGCGGGATGGGGGGGAAAGGGATAGCTTTGAGGTCGGGTTTTGGAAAATCCAGGGCCATATTGAGGTTGTCGTTGGCACTGTTATTACCGTGGTGTTAGGAGCGGGGTCACTGTATGAAAGATTGGAGGATGGGAGGTACAGTACGGTCTATTGGGGGGGAAGTGGATTCGAATTGAGGCATCGCTGTTACAGTATTTTCTTGGGGGGGTTTTTTTTCTTTCTTTTCCTTCTAGAGTATGGGTGTATTGTAGAGATTGCGGTGGAGTAGTTGTCATGGATCGCTTGCAGGCATTTGGTGGAGTCCCTAGGCGGGGAAGATTGATAGGGTATTTAAGCTCAGCCTGTCTGTACTACCGGCACTGAGCTAGTATCTTCCGGTGCACCAGTAATCGAGGTGGCCGAAACCATATAGCAGCTTCAAACTGAAGCAATGGCCAATGATCTTTGCTGTTCGAAACCAATTGGATCATACAAGCAGGGTAAGGACGTCCGGCTATTTCCATGGTCAACCCCCGGCCAAGATAAGCATGATAAAAACTACACACATCATGCAGCCTACGGTATCATACAGCACGCGCAGTCAGGGGATGAGCTAAAGTGCAGTAGCTTTCTAAGTTTAGTCAATTATATATAGTTGCCGACAAGGCCGCATATTGTGCTCTAGTAGTTCGGGTCTGGTGCAAGGGGACTTGATCGCATCATACATGGTTGCGGACATATTCACAGGGCTTGCACACTTTCAAGAATAAAGACAGGTGCAGGCTCGGGCTGTATTCCTAGACGGCGTGCTCAAAGTTCTGAGAAATGTATGATACAGTGCCTGTGTTCGGGCATTGCGTAGCCTTTGTGGCATTGACCAGACTGGAAGAAATGTTCGGTTCGTAAAACTCAATTGGGTTGTGCAATGCACTGTGTCATACAGCAAGTCTAAGTCACCACTACAAAGCCGTGGAGGCGACAGCAGCGGAAGTGAGGCAAACTGGTGCTAACCCAGTGGTGATAAACAAGAATAAGGCATAATACACCGTCTCCTCCTTTGCCCTCGGAAGAGAATGGATATGATACCGACCAGCTTAAGCCCTAGGGAAGTCACAGAACAAAGGACCCATCCCATGAAGCTCACTCCATCACCATTTGCTTCCATTCATCTAGTGAACCAGCCCCAGGAACAAGTTATTACCGCAAATGGCATCCCCATATACCTCGCGTTCTCGAAGAGCCCCTATCCACAAAAGAGTGCCCAGGATCATCCAGCTCGTCGTAAGGATCATTGAATCCAGTTTAAGCCCCCCTTGAAGACATCCAGGTCGGTGCCCAAGGCACCGGCCGGACCTTCACAGCCGAGATGGAAATCAGGACCAGTCTAAATTCACCTTCTTGGGAGCCGAAGAAACTAGAATCCGTCAGAACATGCTCAGTAAGGCGCGCCAGCGCTTTATCACCTTCTAGCCATGAGTGAGAACCGGCGAATGTTAGACAGATTCAGTTCGGTGCCATTTTGAGGACGCCCCCGATAAGTAGCCTCAAACCTCTCGAACGGAAGCAGAATTCGTTCCCCATCTGAAGAGAGGCCCTCTGAGGGGGTGAAAGTAGCTTCGTATTCCAACGTAGAGTTCTCACGGACAGTACCTTTCTCAATATATGTGTCAGGTAGAAGGTCCCTTATATTGAGCGAGTAGGTCTTGATTGCCGCTACAGACGAAACAATCCACAAACCCTGTGTCAGCTATAAAGAGACAAGGTGTGGGAGCGAACTTACGAGGATCACTAGATATCGATGGTATATCCTCACAACCCTCAAGCTTAACAAAAAGCTCAATGCCTTGGTATTCACTCAAGTCCCAAATGCACTCCCCGGTGGTTCTCTGACTGGCAAAGCCAGTGCCGCCTAGAGTTTTGGCATCGAGGCTTCCTGAGAAGGCTGCGCAGACACCACTGGGAGGAATAAACAATGTAGACTAGAAGTTGCAGTCAGCCCCCTCCAGCCCCCAAGAGCAGGCCATAGTAACATACAGTAGAATTTCCTCCTCTCACGGTATCGTCCTGTGCTGTCCATTCACTCGAATCCCAAGGCCTATGAACAGAAAAATTAGCTCCAAGTTACTTCTTCAGGACTCGAGACAAAACAGGGGACCAGCCTACAGCCCCCAAACAAATCCAACCGTTTCGTCACAGGACCGCCGGCATAGAGAGCCATGGATAACCGAACCCCATTGAACAAGAAGAGGAAAATATAAAGAGCCAGGTCCATCAGACTTAGAGCCACTAGCACTATTGCTTTTCGTTACCAGAAAGCACACTCGATGAGTGTAAAATAATAACAAGTAAACCTCACGCTAGGACGTTGAAGTTGTCTCCCCTAGTAAAGCCTGATGTATGCCGGTATTTATTTGTCCCAGCGGAGGATTGAAAGCTAGTTTCCGCCGGGGCAGGGGGTGACTCCCTGCCTTCCCCCCTTAAACAAAGAGGGGAATCCTATACAGTACGTTCTAGAATGGTGTTAAATTATTCCGGTCCTTACGGTAACATACAGGTACTGGAGCATTGTCACTGTTACCTGTTGGCCATGATTGTTGACAAGGTCATCTTTCCGATATGACGCAATAGACGAGGGTCAACGAATCGGGATAACCCTTCCAATACTATACCGGCCGGTCCCAGGTCTTCCCGATAGAATACCATCAAGGCCCCAGATCACTCGGGTGCCGGTGCACCCGGGGAGCATTGCCCTAAGTGGGTCCCTAACTCCTCTTTTTTCTCCCCTCTCGGCCAACCTTGAAGAAATATAATATCACAGATGGATCAGGTGCCTAGCCTCTAACCCAATATATCCGTCAACAAAAATAACCCTCTACAGGCTCTTGTTGAGCAATTGAAGCCCTGTGTCTTCAGATAAGCTGGTAGAGGCTTATAGTATGATCCAAGTGCCATCAATCTCGACCAAAACTAACTTCAACACCCCAGCTCCCTACTTGTACATATCCCCGACCCTCAGCCCTTGTAACGTACTCGAGTATGCCACGGCGGGTCGAAACACATGATGACACTAACCAGTCTAAGTAAAAAGCACCCTTAGTAAGCAATAGCTAGTGTATTCGCCACTTGTTTCGTGCGTGTATTTCGGCTCATCGTGGGACACGTCGGTAAATGACAGCAGGTATCAGACTTTTAGGATTACCCATGTAAGGAAAGCGAACCACTACCACTGTTAGATTCCAGAAGTTCCCTTGGCGCCGACGGAGCAATCAAATAGATAGTGCGTGCAACCCGAAATTTGTCAGTAAACCCCCTCCTATGATACAGGAGAAATAACATCATACCAGGATCCACGGAGACCATACTTATCATGATATGATATGATACCTTGTTCGGCACATCAAGAACTTGCATCCTCTCTGCCCTGTGTGTTTTCAGGGCCTTCGAAAAAGGAAAAATATCAATAAATGCACTTGGATCCGGGTTATTCTCAATGAAACATTTGGTCCAGATTTTTCACGGCTGTGTTCTCCAACTTATGATAAAGGCCGAAACACAGATTAATTCTCTTGGCTCCAGGTGAAACTATGGTGCCGGGGCACCCGATATCAACACTATCATATGGGTAAATAATCTTACCTATATATACGGTACATTAATACTCGAATACGGTACTGTACACGAGGATACAAAATAGTGGGGCTTGACCAAGACAACTTCAGAAATGACCATCATGGGTAATTCGAAATTTTGCCATCTCCACGAACATTGCCCTTAACTTATCGAAAATCGTAAAAATAAAATAAAAATAAAAATAAAAGAACTTGAGAGGGAGGCCCCGGGATTGGTTCGTATACTCGAGTAGAACAGGTTTCCCCAACCAGTCAGGAAAGAGGTTCGGAGATGAGGAGGCGGCCAACCGTAACCCTTGTTCCCGTTCCATTGGGGTACAAATACCGGTAGACCACTCACGTGGTCTAGGGATGTCTTGATGGTCCATGGACGAGTCCACAGGGTTAGATCTGGATGATAGAATACGGTAGGGTACGGGCCCAGCAGAGTACGGTAGTCGAGTACGGTGCGAGATCCGGGCAAAGGCCCATTGACAGACTTCATATTCTCATCACCACTCCAGCATCCCGGACACGATCTAATGTACTGTACTGTACGGTGCGGAGCAAACGAGATGGAAACTGCTCGGGCAGAGTACATTACGGCATGTGTTGCTGCAGTGACAGCGCAGCGGACTGTGCGGTAAGCCAGGACCCAATGGAGTAGGCCCCAACCGACACGCAGAAACACGTCGACGTTCCCCCACTCAACGCCGCCTCTCCCCTTTTTTTCCCGCCAGAGCCTTTTACTCGAGTACTCGTACACTGAAGCCCCGATCTCTGAGTTGTCTTGTGAGTTCTTTTCAGTATGATGGGCCCCTCCTTCTGGTGTGTCACTGGGTAAGATACAGCACACGCACCAAAAGGTAGCCGCCGGGGTCACACGGCGTAGGGAGAGAAGGGAAAAAAAGAATCCTCACCATCACCCAGAGGAATGCAATAACTCATGACGAGAGCGGCAGATAGGATTCCAAACACCAGACGATATGATCAACATGTGATGTCGAATGGACACAGGATAGGAGTAATAGATCTACAAAACAAATAGAGACGTCTAGAGAGCCTCATGCTTTTGTTCCATTTTTTGTTCACTTCGATGGGGGGCTGCGTATTGCATATCATAGGTGGAACCTTCATCGCCAGCCCTCCCCGATCTTCACAGAGCCCCAGCCCAAAAACCCAAAAGTTGTTGGCCCGAACGGCGAACCCCCGAATAAACCCAGATCTAGGAACGCCCATTACTATTGTCCACTGAAACACAACAACCCACCAGGGCCCACAGCAGCGGAAAAAAAAAATATTCAACCACACTCACCGGCTATCGTCCAACCGTAGTGAAGCATGCAGAGAGCATCACTACGATCAGTTTTATCCACCGCTCGCAGGAGTACAACCGTCTTGCCCTTGAGGCGCCCCGGGAATGTCACGGCTCTCAGGCTCGCTCCCCTCTCGACCCGTTCTAACCCTCCCATCTCCGGCCCCGGGTCCATGAATACAAAAAAGCTCTCGCTTGCCCTACTCAGCGGTTTGGTTTTGACGGGTGCTTGGTACTATAGGGACACTCTTTTGGGGGCTAGTGAACCTGGGTTTCCGATTGCGGGCGAATCGTCATCAACCCCATCCACTGCCACCACCGCTGTTGGACCCGGGGCAGCCGAGGAGGGACCGAGGAAAGTTGTGGCCGTCGACAACGAATCCGTTTATACCGGCACCCTTTCCGCCGGGCCTGGAGGAAGGGTTAGCAAGGAGGTTGAGAATAACGGGGAGAAGGTCGTCGAGATGTTGACCCCTGAGCAAGCTACCTCAAAGTTGAGACGGAATGAGGAGAGTTATTTTGTTGGGAGAGGAAAAGGCGTTTGGAGATACGATGTGGTCCAAGTTCCCAGCAACGACCCTATCGAAGACGATCATGCCGAAAAGATTATCGAAGTCCCCCCCACCGTGGTACCAGCGGAGGAAGGGCAGGAAGCTGGGCCCAGCGATTGGATGTTTTGGGGAGTTTTTGACGGTCACAGGTTCGCTCCATCCCCTTTAGTAGTTTCCACACATTGTTTACCCCCAAATTTTCTGAACACTGCTGACAATTGCCCCCCCACAGCGGCTGGACCACTTCCGCAAAACTCCGTCAGGTTCTCATCACGTTTGTTGCTCGCGAGATCAGCAACACGTACAAAGCAGCCGTCGCGGACCCAACCCCCAAGACACCATCCCCTGAATCAATTGACAATGCCATCAAAAAGGGATTTCTCCAACTGGACCACGAAATCATTCACGAGAGCGTCGACAAGGTCTTCAAGAATCCTTCAAAGTTGGTAGCCGCCGAGACGTTAGCACCCGCCCTTTCCGGCTCCTGTGCACTCCTCGCCTTTTACGAAAGCCGTTCGAAACTCCTGCGAGTTGCCGTCACAGGTGACTCAAGAGCTGTGCTAGGTCGTCGCGGCAGCAGCGGTAAATGGACTGCAACACCTCTTTCTGAAGACCAGACCGGTTCCAATGAGTCCGAGGCTGAACGGATGAGGAAGGAGCATCCCGGAGAGGAATATGTCGTGAGAAATGGGCGTGTTTTGGGTGGGCTTGAGCCTTCACGGGCATTCGGGGACGCTTTCTACAAGTGGAGTTATGACACCCAATTGAAGATCAAGAGTCAGTTCTTCGGACGAACCCCCAGCACATTACTGAAAACACCTCCCTATGTCACCGCAGAACCAGTTATCACTACAACCCGGATAGAACCCGAGAAGGGCGACTTCTTGGTAATGGCTACGGACGGGCTGTGGGAAATGCTAACGAACGAAGAAGTCGTTGGACTCGTGGGTAAATGGTTGGATGACCAGAGGGCAGGCTCCAAGGATGGAAAGCCATGGTTTGGCAGCTGGTTCGGGGGGGGGAAGGACCAGGGAATGCTGCCAGTTGAGGCCGCGACTGACGATGCCACTGGCCAGCGCCAACCAATCCGTATCAAGCAGTGGGGAGTCACGGCGAAGGACAGTGAGAGGTTCGTCTGCGAAGACCGGAACGCTGCCACTCACTTGGTTAGAAATGCACTTGGTGGCAAGAACCAGGACATGCTTTGCGCGCTGTTGACACTGCCCAGCCCTTACTCTAGACGCTATAGGTACATCTCCAACAACCCTAATCACACGAACGTATATGCATGAACTAACAATCCCGCCGCAGAGACGATCTTACCGTCGAGGTAATCTTCTTCGGCGACAACACCGAAAATAACGGTCAAGTTACCATCAATAAGGAAGCCACCGCAACCGTTAAGAACGACACTCCCCAAGCAAAACTATAAATAATAAATCAAACCCTCCATCGTCACCGCCATCATAACTATCATTTAGAGTTGACAGCATCCCTAACCCTACATCTTCTTCGCCATCAGATTTGATATATTAAAGAAAAGAACCCCACGCTTAAACCATAATCGCTACTTTTCTTCTTGTTCACTTAATCGATCTGGGGGTATTGTGTCTGGCTCTTACCCACATGCTGTGCTTCGCTAAAAGTTGTCTTGTTTCACATTTCATTTGTCTAATCCCGAGGGCAAAGTGATGGAATGAAGACTGCATTGATTTCTGTTGCTGTCCTCTCTTGTTTTGGCTGGCTGGCTTGGGGCGGATTTTTCCACGTCTATACTTACTCTACTCTTGCATTTTTTTTTTCTTCCGTTATCTTTTGTATGACATAGTATCGGCGTTCGGGGAGAGAAATACATACTGTTTTCCTGATAGCATGTAACAGGCACTTGCATTTGCGACTGATTGACTGATTGACTGATTGATCGATCGATTGAGGCAGGTTATGTGGAGTGGATTTAGGCACCTGCACAGTACATCAAACAAGAATGGAGTGCCGGTGCCATAGTCAAAAAGCTGCAAGCGATCTGCGGAACACCCAAGTGGGATGCATAGGTACTAGCATAGGATACCGTAGAAAATTGATCTCTCTCCCCTCTTCCTTTTCCCCCCCCCCCCTTTTCCCCAATGGCTCCGATATCAAAACCAGTCACCCGGTCACACAATCTCACTCGTGAAACAGCCCTAGGTGAAGAAGTCAGCATAGTGACACCATAGTAGGAATTTACTTAGGCACCCCAGGGGACGTTCCCGCGGGTTGCCAAATGCCCAGAGCGGGGCACGGGGCATTGCTCCTGGCAAAGACAATCCTACATATGATATCATACCAACGAACCATCTTAAATCCCCATCTCAGTAAGAGGGTGCCTCTAACGGACAGTGATGACAGTAGCAATAGCGATGACAGGGGTATCTGCCATGCTGCCACCGTATGTTCACCACCACCACCGACTACGTCAATGAATCCCGGAGGATAACCGCCACGGCGAGTCGCAAACGGCCGGTTCGGCCATGCTACATAATACAGCCATAGTGCTTCATAGCTGCCAGAGTTGGAGGGACGTAAAAGGATCGTTGGGAAAGCAAAAAGTGGACAGCCAATTTATCATTCTTATTATGTCCGGGTTTGGGTGGGCATCAAGTAATTCACTTTTCTTCCTCCAAAAGTCTGGAAGATATGATGTGACGATACTGTGCATTGGGGTGGGTAGAGTGGTACTGGTGGTTCTGCGGAGAAGTAATGATGCTACAGGACGCCAAAAGAAAAGAACAATTGCCTGACAAAAGAAGTGGAAATAGAAAGGTGGGGGGTTTTTTTTTTCAGAAGGGCTGTTTCCAGAGAAGGCCAGATATAATGATTAGAGGACCGCTGGGAGGAGGGTTTTGGGTGAAGCATATCCACCAACGGCCCTTAAGAAATATATATCATATCATACTTACCCCAGTTGTCTTCAACGGTGATAATGATTCCCTCCCGGGGGATTTTCGGCCTTGATAGCCATGTGATGATATCCTGTCGGAATGCCTCGTAGCGTTACTGTACTGTACTGTACAGTTACGGGTTTCCAATCCACGATATAGCAGGGGGGAAATCGTTTAATCAAATTGGTAATAAAAAAATATATATATCCTTTCAACCTCAATCCTACAATCGGGGAAACCGACGGTGAAAGATTTGCAGTAGGGAGTAGGGGTAGTGATTGCATCCCCCCCGTCAGCATCCTCGATAGACACTTTCCCTTCCCAGCGTTAAATTTGAATGGCGCGGCGCTCTCGAGCCTTGTATTCATTCATGCCCCATTACCCCTGCCTGATGGAGGGAGAGAGTGTGAGTGATGACTGGTGCAGGAGGCTGGAGTAGTCTTCTTTGTGTGTACCCCCTCCCACAGGGCTATCAGTGAAAATGAAAAAATGAAAAAGAAAGTCCAAAACCCGAAATCCAACAATGGAAGGCGCAGAGAATTGTGATTGTGTATGATATGTGGCCCACCGCATGGTCGTTGACGACGAGGAGAAAGGTAGAGAGAGGGTGGGGGGAACTCCTTTCACACAGGCAGACCTACCAAATATATTGGTGCCCCTACCGTGAAGAAGAAAAAATAGGCTCCAGAGTGGATGGATAGACCGCTCAAGGCTTTATTCGTTTTTAAAAACCAAACCCCAGGTTTGTATCATAAGATTGTACTTGGAAAATCATGTGGTATCACTCGAGGACGGTGGGTAGGGCAGGAGGAAGGTATGATATAGCTGATAGTACAAGATATGGCTATACTTTTCTTTGAAAAAAGCCTCGAGGTTATGAGTATATACGCCCCGCCACCGGTTGTTTTTAGTATCAGAAGGGAATACAGAACGTCATACCATTTACTTCACAACTAAATTATCTTTTCCCAAGGTCTTATCACACGTAAAAAAAATCCCCTTGGGGAAGTCGTACTTTGTTGGTCATTCGTAGCTTAAGTCCCGGACCTCGACCTGGAGGGAAACCAGGAAATGCTCTGAGTTAGAGGGATGCTAGTAAATCAGGGAATAAACAGACTACTCAATAGCCTCGGCGACAGTTTGTGGACGTGGAATACACCCATATAACGAAACATGAACAGGTATCATATGATACCCCATATCATACTCAAGCACCATATCACGCGAAACTCGACACTTTCATAAGCTGCTCAGGGCAATTATAGTCCCTCACTACCCCATTCCAGCGGAGAGGAGCACGATATCATACCAAAACCGGTCCACCAAGTTACCTCATAGTATGGCTGTTGTTGCCACACCAGAGATTCCATGGAGCTTCCTATGATAGCAAAAAAAAAAAAAAAAGATTCCAATATCCCAAAACCGTGAATATAAATTTCCTAATTCTACAACGCCGTTCGGATCCCATAGCCATTTCGTCCCATCACCACCTCGGGAGCGCACACGGCAGCTGCACCAGATAAGAATCGCACCAACGAACGAACCCAGGATACAGTAGCGCCATCGCAAACAAATAACACAATAACCTTCCACTCCTCCCAGTCTCCCTCTCACCGTGCTATTTCCGCCCGCTTACTAGTCAAGACCGCCCCGCCCTCCCTTCCCTCCCCTCCCCTCCCCTACCTTTCCATCAATCCGTCACGTCCCATCACTCCATAAAGCCGTTACTCGAGACCTACCCCCCGCCCCTCCCCTATCGCCACATCCACCGTCCTCCCAAAAGCCTTTCAAAAACGACCCCCCAATTTCACTCGGGAATTCGAAACCCTAGAAGAGTCAGGTCAGGGCCCTACTACCGCAGTCAGAAAAAGGCTGTGCGCAAGAGGCGGAAGGTCAAGTTGAGAGGTTCGAATTTCATACAATCTCCGCTTCCTATCATATCATACACAAGATTTCCACCAAAGAATATCGAAAACCAACGGGAACTCGAGCGAAAAGGCGGGGCAGCATGCGCGGCAGTGACGGCGATTGTGTAGGATGCGCCATATATCATACATAGTCTATATAGCGCGGCAGCATGCCTTGGGTTTTTGGAGTATCATATGATATGATAGATTGTGCCGGGTGGTGGTGAATTGGGCAGGGTACACCGCCAGATACAGCATAAAGGGCTTGTGATCTAATATAGGTTGTGGGTATCGGCGTACAGTATGATACTTGCCTGAGGAACCAGGGGGAGAGGCGGAACCTGGTTGTTGTGGTGAGGAAAGCTAGGATCGGGTGGAGAGAGGAGTGATATTATGTGAATGTGCCTGTTTGTCCGAGCGTCACAGCCAGGTGGCTCCCCCGCGGTTCTCGCAGCGGAATCCACACAAACGCACGGCGGAGGCTAGGAATTTTCAAACTACAAGTCCGGAAATTATGACTGGCACCTATTTTACGAGATAATTATGCAAAAATAGCGCAGCAGAAAACGCCAAAGCCCAGAAGCTGATACCGGTACAAAATACACAAGCTGATCTACCCGAAGAAGCACGCCAGGCTTATACATCTTCACGCCTTCTTCGCTTTAGGCCCTGCTTGAGCCTTCCCCTTCCCCTTGCCTGCCCCACCGTCCTCAGTCAATGCATCAACGCTAACATCGCTAGCTCTCCACATATACCACATGAACAAACTTCTATAAGGTCTAAACCCCTCCGACAAGCGGAGCATATCCTCCTCGCTCATGTACTTCCATTTCCCCTTCCCACCCGACTTCAACTTCGCCACGTCCCTTCCAAAGTGTGCCGCCATACCCCTCTGTATGCCCAAGTCCCCCGTGGAAAAAACATCCATGCGCTTCAGCCCAAACATCAGGAACATCTCAGCAGACCACTTCCCGATACCGCGGACCTTCGTCAATTTCTCGATAACCTCCGCATCGGGCGCTGTAGAGAGGACTTCCGGCGAGAGCGTGCCATCGATGAAGTGCTCCGCAAGAGAAACCACGTACTCGGCTTTTCTCCCGGAGAGCCCGGCGGATCGTAGCTTATCGTTCGGGCACGCCACGACCATTTCCGGCATTGGGAAGAAGGGCTGCGGACACGTAGGGGTTGGGGTGAAGAGGGCGATGAAGCGGGCCTTGATTGTGCGAGCGGCAGCGCCCGACACCTGTTGCGAGATTATGCCGCTCACAAGGCTTTGGAAGGGGTCGATGAGTTCCGCTAGACCCTCTACCGAGAATATCCCGCAGCTATGGGATTCGATAAGATGCTTTAGGCTCGAGTCCACGGAGAGCAGATGTGCGGTTGCCTGGCCGAGGATAGTGTTTGTTGTGGCGGGTGCATGTGATTTGACCGGTAGGACGGCGGTGCTGTTTGCTTGAGAGGCGATTAATGGTGCGTTGGTGCCGCGTGGCGATGCAGGTCGCTCTTTCACCACCTCCGGGGCGGGTATCTGTGTCGACTTCTTTCTAGTTGAAACCGGCTTCCTGCCACCAGCTGAAGATGATTTAGTCCGCTTCGTAACACCAGCTCTGGAAACGCCCAGCAGCTCCGTGATGGGGCCGTTCGCTCTCGAGCGTGTAGTGACGACCATTGAGACAGAATTTTTTATCGGGCTTGGAAAGTTTGGCGACGGTTGAGGGGCAACTTATCTTTAGAAGGACTGGGACGGCTGTGTATGATGATGTGGATTTCCAAAGAGAACGGAGGCTACCAGTGCGCCAAGTTGGTGGGCATCGTTGACCCAAGGGCGGACCCCCCACCCTAGGATGATTCACACACAACGCGTTACACAGCGTTCAATGGCCTGAGAGCACGGCTCGAACTCAGCTCAGTGAGATCACTGGAGAGCCTTTCCTGTGAGGGACAACTAATTATTGTAAGCTTTCCAGAATCTTGGCGACAGATAAGCTCCAGAGTGCAAGGGGGCGGTTGTTTGAGCCTTGAGAGTCGCCAGAGCAGGAAGCGCCCTCTAGTGCTGAGCTTGAAAATTTAGCTCTGGAGAAGCATAAAAAACAAGGGGATCAGGTGCAAACAAAGAAATAAGCACTCCTCCAGCACGCCATGCAGTCATGTATCCTATCGTTCCTGAAGCACCCCAGCCAGGGGGCCGTTTGCTGTCTCACGATAACCGTCAGAATACAAGCAAGCGAGCCCTCCAGATTTGTCATACCGGCTGTGGTGGGCATGCCTCAGAAATTATCACTCGCTTTCCGACCCCACTCTCCCCACAGCCGCCCGGCTCCACCTAGTCCCCAAATCGCAGCGCAATAACGTACTCAGGATGTCCAAGGGGGCGATAGTGCCGATGACCTCTCATACATGCTGCGCATACGCATAACCTAAAGCCCTCCCTCCAGAATGAATTGCATCCTCCCCTCTAGTCCTGGGGAGACTGTGGCATCTGCCCTCTCCATCGCGAATGAGATGCTCCAATTGAGGTTGGAACTGTGCTGGAGGGCAAGCGAGAAAAGGAGCAAAGAGGTTGTGCACTCGGTAATGATACTGGTAGGTGAGAATCTTGCGCCTTTTTTTCCCGGGAACCCTCATGGCCCATCGTAGCTCCATTTATTCCGCCCTGTTCCTTGAATACCGGTACGAGCATGGGGTTACCGTATTTCTTCCCGTTCTTTCCCTCACGGTTTGCTGGTGATACGAACGACACCGCGAATATGTGCGTGACAATTGGCGCTCGCGAGCCCTGTCCTTGTGCTTTCGTATCGGTGGCGGCACCGCTGATAAGGATTTCTTGCATCGCACACCCCACAATCAGGAAGCGTGAGATCTACTCGTACTCGAAACTTGGTGGCTCAGCATGGGAGCTAACGGATTCTCACATGCGGCCCCAAGGGTGCAATAGGGATCCTGTGCTTGTATTATACGAGTAGCGGTCCTACAGTACGGTGCCGGTACCGTACTCGTACCATACGGTAGGTTCACTTGGCTTGATCATCCCTCATCCGAAGCTCATAGGCTGCAGGTAGACTAGCTAGAATTCGGGTATCTGGACCCCGGGAAAATTTGTCGTCATAATTGGCCTCCACCTCTCGGGAAACAACACTAGAAGCCGTTGCTGGACTGGGGTTCGGGTTGGGCACCAAGAAAGGTACCCACCGCCATTCCGGCGATTGCTTCTACAGTATTGATAAAGGGCGGTCACATGGTCCCGTGTGTCCATAGGACTCGATAGAAGTGGAGTGGATTTAATTGCAAAACAGAACACATCTGCTCTATAAGTGACAGGCTTAATGCACGCCGTCTTCTAGTTGGGGAAAAAATCATTGTTAAAAGCTTTCCTCTCCTTCGTAGCACGCAGCTATGCTTGCTGCGCCGATGCTGCCCAAGTTCTGCCTGTCGTCATGGACAACTTGGCTTTGGGGGAAGTGCCGCAGTCCGAGCCGTTCATTGCTTGAGGGGAAACGCGTCATTCCTTTTTCAGCCTAATAGAACCGCCAAGCACTGGCGCCATGATTGCTTTTCAGCTGTCTCCGGAACGCGATCCACCGGGCCCGAATGCGACACCGGCAGTAGACTATTGCTCCAGCAAGAAATTATTCTGAGGTGAGCGATCAATTGGACGCCAGCATAGGCTATCGGACACGCCCTATCATAATACCAAAGCAAACGGGAGTGGAGCGACGATGAGAGAATGAGAAGCCCTTTGGTCCGGCAGGTGGCAAACGTCAAGTGTTGCCGTCGGCCCACCGAGGTCAATTGGGGCAATAAGTTGAAAAATCGCTTGGAACAGCCGGGGCTCCCCTTCCTCCCTCGCGTAAGAGCAGCTGGATGGATAAGCAATCCTGTAGATAGCTCCATTTGAAGCGTTCGTCCCATCAAAACCTCCAACGTGGATGGGAGAAAAAGGGCCCGTCCCCTAACCTCAACTACGTTTCCTAGTGATACGAGTTCAGAAACCTTGAGGTTCTCTCTTACGAAGCTGGGAAAGCAGAGGGAACCTCAAGAGGGATCGTTGCTCTTGGGCTAGTTGTTGTGGAAACGGAAGAAACCTTGAGGGGCGCAGGGATCAGTGGTACAGTACCGGTATGGAGTTCTGGTTGTATCATATCATTCACTCTGGTACTGTATGTGAATGACAAACGCCGTGTCGTTTTTTAGGAAAGGTCACCGCCGCTATTTGTCGAGATAAGGACAAGGGGCCGGGGGGGGGGGGGGCGATGGAACTGCTCCTGCAGCTCCGTGAGCGGTGTGCCTCCAATCACCGATTAGGAAACCCGTTACTATTACGGTACAGCAATGAGGAGCGCAAATCATCGACGATGCTACTCTGGTGGGTGGTGGGACTGGGTATACCTGCGACGAGTACTGTAATCGAATCCCTCTGCTGTTTCGAGTTGTAGACTTCCCCTCTCGAAATCATCTTCAGACGGTTCTAGCCCATTTATTATGGAGTCTCGAAACATATCTGCAGGAGAGCTCCTTGGGTTGACTATTTGTGGCAACAGACGCCCGCCGATCTGCATTCTGGCAAAATTGAAAATACTCGAATACAGTATCTCGGTTGGAAAGGGGGGCCGCATGCATGTCTGGTGATTGCCAGAATATCGCGCTGCGAGATGCCTAGAGCTGCGAGATATAGTAATTGCCTGGATGCCATCCATCCCCATAGTCTACCGATATCAGTGCAGCATTCCCCCCGGTTCGCATTCTTGTGCGGCGACCTTCTCACCCCTTCTGTTGCCGGTATTGATAACGACGATATCGTAAGAACTCGGCAAAGGCGGGCCTACACGCGCCCGCAACCGGCCTCCGCGTGGTTGTATATTTAACCGCTTTGAGCTTCAAATTCCCTCCGTACACGGTGCAAAGTACTCGTAGCGAGATGTTTTTGCTTTGAACCACCCCGTTTGTGAGGTTGAGTGTGGCGGGCTGGTGTTCAGCCTATCCTATCGTGCTGATGTTTACCTGTATTCCCCCCTGCTGTGCCTATTACTGTGCCTATTACTGTGTCCGCTGCGGTGCCCGGCTCCTGCCCTATTCCGATAGCAAATCGTAAGTTTGCATGGAAGGCGTAGGTGGTGTTAGGGTGAGTTAATGGCGGTGCTTGGCTCCCCGGCTCCCTGATCCCACCTACTGTACTTGAGGCGCAAAAACGGTGAAATTGGACCCGGAATTGAGGGCCCTAAATGCCAGCTTCAGCCATACTTTCGTGCCTTCACGAAGGTATGATATGATCTCGCAGCGGTGCTCCTCAGGTATACTACTACTCTTAGATAGAGTGGCTTCAGGGTGGTTGAGGATTGGCCAATGTATCGTATGACCTCCTGAAGGGACCGAGTTTACGAAGGCCGACCGTTGTTGGGGGTTTCATGGGCTCTCGATGCGAGCCACAGCCTCCGGCAACACTGTCGATAACTCCCACCCGGGTGGTACCGCGAAAACCGTCTAATGACACTGCTCACAATGGAATGGAGTGTCCAAATTGCAGGTACGGCACAGTGGCCCGCCGTAGTATGGGTGGAAAGAAGAAGTACTGTATGCACGAGTATGATAGAGATTAAATACCGGTACCGGTACTCGAGCACAGTTGGGCGGGTGGAGATCACAGTCCTTCCAATAATAACAAACCCTGACGTCCTTCCGGGTGCAGAGCATTCCGCCCTTAGCCACACAAATGACGGCTAGCGGCAGAGCAACCTTTATCATACGGTACCGGCGGTGGTGAAGCAAGCCTGTCCAGGTCCAAGCACTTCTGGCTCCTTTCCATAGAAAAGTCTACCCCTGCCAGCAAATCTCAGCAAATCCAACGGTGTGCCCACCAAGACTGCCCTCGCACCTGCTCATTCCATTGCTAACGTCGGATCAAGTAAGCGTGCGTGTCTTGTCGTCCCCACTGCCTTTTTCTCTCCCGCGTTCCTCCTTTTCCTCCACCCAGAATTCCCTTTCCTTCTTTCCTTTCCTCGTTTCCTTTCCTTTCCCTGTGCCGCCACTCCGCCCATCCATCACCAGACTTCCTCCCTCTCTCATCGCATTCTCTGCTTCCCTCCTCCTCACCGCTTGCTTCCTTTTCGACAGTCTCTCGTTCATTCAGCCACTCGAAACCCTCACCTTCCTTCAACCTCTCTCAAGTTCGTTGAGCCGAGCAGCAGAGTGGAGTTTGTTTCTGAGTTCTCGCTGCTTTTCTTACAACTTCATAATACCTACCGTCGTCCTTCTACAACCCTCCCCCATACAGTCAAATATTAATACACACAAAATGATCTCTCTGAGAAGTTTCCTCCTGGCGGCCGTGGCCCTTGCAGGGGCTGTCAATGGTTTGTCACACATCTACTACCCCCTACCCGTATCACCTTCACTATCTATCTACTGTTACATTCCCTTCGGTTGGCCCTTCCTGCCAATTCAACTTGATGAACCTGGCAACGATAAATTTTGGGCATTGATTTTATGCTGACATTGTTTGTTTTCTTAGCCCAATGCGACAAGAGTGTCGAGATCAAGAGCGATAGCGATGCTAGCGCCTTGAGTTCTTGCAGCACTATCAGAGGAGATGTTACCATCGGAGAGGGTATTACCACCCTCTCTTTGTCGAGCCTCCAGACAATTGAGGGAGATCTTACCATCAAGGGAGCCGTCGGATTGACTTCTATTGATTGCCCTATGCTCAGGCAGATTGAGGGTGATTTCGTCATGCAGGGCTTGACTGTCTTGTCCAGCTTGTCCATGCCTGAGTTGACCAAGGTTGGCTCCATCTCGTGGACCACCCTTCCCGCTCTTTCCGAATTGACCTTCGCCAAAGGGGTCACCGAGGCCTCAAGCGTCCTCATTACCGACACCAACCTCGCCAGCCTCGCCGGTATCAACTTGGTCACAGCAAAGACCTTCAATATTAACAACAACAGATACTTGAATATTGTTAATGTTGCTTTGGGAAATGTCAGCGAGGCTCTCTCCGTCGAGTTCAACGGGAAATCGCTCAACTGCTCCTTCCCCCAGCTCGTCTGGGCCACCAACATTACTATCCGTGAGGCTGGTGACGTTTCTTTCCCCAAGCTCACCTCCGTAAATAACTCTATTGCCTTCATCCAAAACAACTTTGAGACTGTATCCTTCCCTGAGTTGGAGAAGGTTGGCCAGTCGTTCGCCTTCAACAGCAACATCAAGTTGACTAAGGTCACCGCGAATGACCTTGTATCTGTCGGTGGCACCTTCCAGTTTGCCAACAATACCAAGTTCCAAACCCTCGATGGCTTCCGTTCCTTGAGAACAGTTGGTGGCTCTGTCGACTTGTCTGGTACCTTCAAAAAGTAAGATTACCTTTTTACTTATCTGATTGGATAAGACTGACTTCTAAAAGCGCTACTCTTCCTGAGCTCGACGATGTCCGCGGTGGATTCAACCTTCAAACCACTGAGGAGTTCAGCTGCGCTGAGTTCGACAAGAAGAAGAGCAGTGGAGTGGTCAAGGGAGACGAGTACACCTGCAAGGGAAAGCTTAGCGAGGCCAAGTCCAGTGAGGGAGGCGCTTCGACCAGCGGTGGATCCAGTTCAGGAAGTGGCCAGAAGAATGCTGCTGCTGGACGTGCTGGTATCAGCACTTTCGCCCTGATCGCCGTCGTTGCTGCTACTTTGATCCTGTAAATTTATATTCCTGGATTTCTGGATTTTCTTTGAAGGGTTTTAGTGTTTTGTCAATTACTACGGATGTTGTCCTGGAGAGGTAGAGTTGAGGCTCGCTAATTTTATTGTTAGTCTCCAAGATATTTTTGTGGAGATTGGGGAAACATGATGAGGCAATGAAGTTGATTGGTGTTCGTCTGCTAAAAAGGTTCCGGTTGCTTGCGTTTCTTTTTACTTTTTCTTTTTCCCTTCTTTTTTTCCTTTCTTTGCCTTGCCTTCATATTCATTTTCTCCGGTCATGTCGTTCAAGGCCGTCATCTGGAGGTATAAGTGCGGTGAAAAGCATCGCGTTATTTTCTGTTATTCAAAATACACGGTAATTGGGACTTTCACTTCATCCAGTAATTATTCACTCGTATTTCTTTATATTATACTTTGTGATGCATAGCTTGTTCTTGGTGGCTCTTTTCTTTGCCCCTTTTGTATTTTTTTTTCTTTTTCCTCTGGACCAAAGATACCCTGTGGTGGTGAAATTTTTTCCTTAGCAGTTCTTGACCAAAGCAATTTATCAATTGTTCGTTTGCTGTGGGCTTGTAACACTGAAAATTCAATATTTTTTCCGGTGGCTTTTTTGTAAGCGTGGTGTGGTAGATCCGGCCATATGTAACTGACATACCATATTTGCCAAAGGTTTAATGATCGGTAAATGCAAATGTGATGCGACTTGTTATTTTAGGGCCTGTTCGGCTGCAACGAGATATGGGGTTTTTAGAAGTCTAACTCCATTTTTACTAAAACTGTCATTTTAGAAATAGTTGTGTTCAGTCATCAGATGTTTTGATTTCTAAAAATGCCATTTCAACATCGAAAATGCCATATGAAAAGGAGGTCTGAGCAGAATTTCTGGACCCTCCTTCTAACCATCCACCTCATCATCAATGACCATGATGAGAAAAAAAAGAAAAAAAAGCCTGCTCTTGCCGAACACCTGATACAAAAATCTGATTTCTAGTAATTCCTTGGAAAAAGTGAATATTCTGCTCCTCACTAAGAATGCCGTTTCGGATATGAGGTGCAACCGAACAGGCCTTTAATTTTTACAGGGTGATAGTTTGTGACTTAACCCCGTAGTATGATGGAAGGAAGAATCAGAATCAGATTTACCAGCCAAGTCCTGACCACTGCAGCAGTCCTCTAATTCCTCCGGTATCATGATATATATTTATATGGTACCTGGCTTGTCCGATAGTATGGATCTCTTATCCTGAGCTTTTTTCTGAATTTTTGTGGACTTTAATTGAAATAATATAACTTCTTTATGGGTTTTCTGCTATGTTGTGTGCATAATCAGTATTTCTCTTTCATCTACTGTGGGGTTAACTCACAAACTATCACCCTATATATATATATATATATGTTGTGTTATGTATATATATAAAAGTCGCGTCGCAATTGCTTTTATCGACTATGAACGAGGAGAAATAGGAGGGGGGCCGGCTATTAACCCTAGGGGGAACCTTTTTGCGGATCTCGCTCGCGTATGGAATCACAATTTATTTATTTAAATTTCGCGTCTCTTTTTACTAACTTACCAGATATCGAGCGGGTACCCACCCAAGACTTCTGCTACCTGTACCGGTGCTCGAGAGGCTCAAAGATACCGGTATTCGGACACCTTAGGGCCAAAAGTCTGTGCGTTTGTTGTGCCTTGGCATAGAGGTGTCCGGATATCATACTTCTGAAATTTGGGGGCAGTACTCCACGTCCGTCCATTATTGTGAGGTAAGAGGCCTAATTTTACAACTCCGTGATTGCTATGCTATGGAGTTTAGGAACTGGCACTGACCCACTTGGCTCAATATTGGGTCATCTTCGCGCAGCAGATGGATACTCTGCGCGTTCGACAATTGTTGTAATGGTTGGCCGCTTGACTGTGGGGCCCAATGGTGGCGTGTTGGTACCGTGGCCATCACCTACCAGTTCCGGCCCTTGAAATTGAGTGCGGTGAAGAGAGGTGCCTCATACTGCGGTCTCCACGGATTCTCGGACCACCGTGGGACCTCTGCTCGCGGCCTCGGCGCCGGAGACTGCCCTTAATGGATGGATCATAAGGACCACCCAGCCATCTGCGGTTGGCCTCCTAATTCTCCATTATGCTGCTGAACCAGGCTGAACCTCGAGGCTCACTGCGAGTACCCATCTTGGCCGCCAGGATATGATGTGCCGGGGAATTCTTACCGAGCCTAATTCATGCAAGAAAATTACAGCACGAACCGGGCGAATCAAGAAGCGTTTGATCTCGTTGATAGAGAAAATAAAGGGGACTTTTCTATGTGTGGTGTTCTCTTCCCCGAATGAATAGGTGAGGGGCCCGGGGAACTGTTTGAAGAGACGACAAGGTGGAGGAAGGAAAAGGAGGGAAGAGGTGAGAAGAAGGTGATAATCAAAGTCATTTAGGGTTTAGCTGTCTTGTTTTTGGCCCCTGCCTTACCCAGCTTTTGTTCCGCCGTCTCTCATCCCCAGGTCCTCATGCTCATCATTTCCCTCACTGTGATCTGTGGGCTCGATTCCAAATTCTCGGCGTCTGTCAGATCATTGGCTTCTGTGTCACTGCGGGAGATAGCTTGGCTGGCTACTGCTTTCTGCCGGGTACTCGAGTACGGACAAGGACCCAAATGCACATCACACCCTCTCATTCTCATACCACACCACCGGCATAGCTACACATACAGGTGTGTATATATGTATATATACCTCATGAAAGACATACCCACCCACACGCACACACGCAAGACATCCCCGTGCACGCACTTGGACTGCGGTTATACTTGCTCGCCAACCTTCTAATTCCACTAGCTCCACCCTCTGCTCTCGCTCTCACATGGGCTGTGAGAGGTTACTGGGTATCTGGAAAGTCTTATGAAATACAACATTTGCATTTCCCCCCCCACTTACCCCCCACAAACACACTTGCGGTGGCCCGGTGCCGGTCTCCGTGCCTTCGGCCACTATGGCCTGCGGCAGAGGGCGTGAACTATGTACAATAATGTCCATAAACGAGATCTCTTGGTGTCCTCCAAATCTTTGTGTCACGGCCGGCAGTCATG